ATGCACAGAAAGTCTGCGTTTGGTTTAACTGAAAATGAAAATTATACTGTATCTTAATTCATAAACAATGTCCAATTTTATTATGACTTCCCAATGCCAATATCTAGAATTCCCTAAGGAATTTCCACAGGGATCCCCATGAGACTTAAATCATAGTACTCTGGTTTAAACTGAATTAGGATGAACATGCTGTTTCACTGTGTTTGCTTTGTTTAGAAAACATGAAGAAAATGAACTAGTTTTTATTAGCCAATAAAAAAACCAAGTTAATTCCATCCAGTGCTTTTTTCTGGAGGTATGCAGGGGTACACATACCCCTAAACATTTTGTGAATCTTTATACTTTTGTCCATTTACTGTATTTATTTTTCCTGCATTGAACTATAAAATGGTGGTTTTCTTGAGTCAAAATGAGAGTACTCAAACATTTTTGGGGGCGAAAAGCACTGATTTCATCCGAAGGGCAGCAAATCTAAAGGCAAAAGACACACCAATATCTGAAAAGGATAAATGCTGTGACATTTTGGCTGTATATATATACAAAAAATCCCCTGACTTAACCCTCAAGGATTCATCTTTGGCCACAAGATGCCAGTGGTACAGTATCTTCTTCCCATAACTTAAATACTTTGCCTGAAAGGATATCACTAGTAAGGACTGAAAGAGGAGAACATGGGTTCAGTTCCCAATTGAAAACTATCCTGTGCTTCTTCTTTTTTTTTCTTTTCTCAAAAGACACAGAAGGAAAGGATGTTAAATCACTCTAAAATCTCCAGGCAAGCAAATGTCTGCTGCACCAGAGAACATCCACCACCTAAGAGGTATTTGTGAAGTTTCTTCAAAACCAAATGGCTTTGGAAATAACGTAGCTGCTTTGGAATCCTCAAGTCAGTTTTGTCCAAAAGAGAAATCAAAACACTGCCTTAAGCTAATTGTTTAAATATATGTGCATGGTATTCAATGCAGTTTTACTTAGAGTAAACCCAATTAAATTAGTGAACATGACGAGATCCGTCTGTTCTTTTCCATGGATCTACTCTGAGTAGAATTTACCGATAGTCGAATATCACCCAAGAACCTCCAAATTTCTGTGGCTTTTCTGACACCAGGAACCTTGTCACATACAACTTCTTAAACAGCACGTAGGTGGCAAGTTTAAGATAGTAACCTATGCAACCTGTGCATTAGTTCAAAGGGGCTTACTCTCAAGCAAACATCAGCCTGCTATGCCCATTTCTATATACTTTTCGCATTGTTTCATCACAGCCTCTCCTTCCCGCTTCTCCTGCAGAAAGAAGAAACATTTTCTGCAAGTCTGCTATTACTCTACTTCTATGACTTTTGAGTCTGCCAGAGGCAGACACGCAGAGACCCATATGGAAACTAAAACGAAAAAAGAACAGATGTGTGGGTGGGCGTATATTATGTGCTGTGCACACACAGTGTCTCCTTGCAGGCTGAATGTGCTAGGCTGGTTGCAGAGGCTGTAAATTCTTTCCTGCCCGGCTGAAGAAGCGCAGCTCCCCAAGGCATCACATATTCATTCCTTCTTCACATCCAAAAAAACTTGGGAAGTTTTGGTTGTTTTCAAAAAAACAAACAATAAAACCCTGTGATGTAAAAATTCTAGTTAGGCCAGAAATTTGATGCTGTATAAACAAGAAAAAACAACTGTCCCTATTGTGCTATGCTGCCACAACATAGTAGCAATATGTAGCGAGCGGGTGGCGCTCTCAACCACTGAGCCTGTTGGGCATGCCAATCAGAAGGTCGGTGGTTTGAATCCCCACGATGCTTTGTCCCAGCTTCTGCCAACCTAGCAGTTTGAAAGCATACCAGTGCAAGTAGATAAATAGGTACTGCTGCAACAGGAAGTTAAACGGCATTTCCGTGTGCTCTGGTTTCTGTCATGGTGTTCCGTTGCGCCAGAAGCAGTTTAGTCATGCTCGCCACATGACCTGGAAAGCTGTCTGTGAACAAACGCTGGCTCCCTCAACCTGAAGCAAAATGAGCGCCGCACCCCATAGTTGCCTTGGACTGGACTTAACCATCCAGGGGTCCTTTACTTTATCTTTAGTAGTAATATACAGAAATTATTCTGAATTAAGGGCACTCAAATATTAATTAATATCCATGTTTGTTTGTTTGTTTGACATCCTGCCCTTCATCACAAGATCTCAGGGCGGTTAATAGATTTTAAATAACCAACAATTTCCCATTCTACTCTTTTAATTCCTGTGTTATGTATGGGATTGGGTAATCCCGTATATATTGGGTCATCCTCTTTAATACCCATTAACTGTTAGAATATGCTAAGCATTGGCTGTTATTTTTGTCCTCTATAACATTAAGTTGTTATGACAGCCTCCATCTAATAAATTATATAATCTTTCTTGACATTTTCCTCTTATCAGCATCATTTTGATCCTTCGTTCATGGCAATGGTAAATTATTTGTTCTACAGAAGCACTGGGGAACCTTTGGACTCCAGTTGCCATCTGCTCCAGCCAGCATGGCCAATGTTATAATCCAAAGGAGACCCTGCCTTCCATAAGAAGGAGTATAACCATTCTCAAAAATGGGAATTGACAGCAAATCAACATTTCCCTATTTCTCAATGGAAGGAAACAATGAGAGTTCTAATATGTAACCAGAAATGTAAAAGAACCCTCAAACCATTAAATAGGATGTCAAAGGCTGCTAAGAACAAAGACAGAAAATAATGCGATTATCTATTCAGTGTATTTCATCAACTGGATAGTTCTGTTCGTTTCATTTTAGGAGGACTGAGAATGGCACTGAGAAACACAAAAATGTGATCATGCAGCGTAGATGGAGTATTTTTGTACAAAATGTTAAAAATACTACTGCTCTTTAGCTTGAAAAAAAAGAGAGGTAGTTAACTGGAAATATGATAGAGGTATATGAAACCACAAAAGCTCTTGAAATCTCTATCAGGGAACAGCTGCTCACTGTTCTACACAAATATAGAACAAGAGAGCACCTGATCGAATTAAGAGCGAACAAAATTAGTGATTTTTTTGGTCACATAACGTGCAGCTGACATGAAAGATAATGTGCAGTGACAATGGCCAGTAACATTAAACCATAAGGAGAACATAAACCCTGATGGATCAGGGCAGAGTCCCAGTTAGTCCAACATTTTGCTCTCACACACTGCAGCCCTAAGCACAGTTACCAAGGGGGCAAAGCCCACTGAACACAGTATTTTGTTAATTTATTTCAGTCCATTTATGAATTGTTTCCCATAAAATATATCAAATTGATTTCACAGTAAAACATCAACCATAAGAACAATCTTAAACAATTCCACATGTGTAAAAAACATTAAAACCAATACCACATATAGAAACAATTATTACAAACCCAGCACAGATACAGTCTACGATAAAGATGTCCACTTAAAAGGCCTGATGAAAAAGGAAGGTATTCAACAGGTGCTGAGAAGACAATAGAAATTCTCACAATTTATGGGATGGACTTCCTAATGAGATGGTATCTGACATTTCCCTCAGAGCGCAGTGATTGATTGGCTATATATGTGGTAAGACCGTATTTTAGGTTTCCTAGTCTCAAGCTGTAAAGAAGTGTGTACACCAGTAACAGCACTTTATTGGGATGCGGGTGGTGCTGTGGGTTAAACCACAGAGCCTAGGACGGCGGTTTGAATCCCCGCGACGGGGTGAGCTCCCGTTGCCCGGTCCCTGCTCCTGCCAACCTAGCAGTTCGAAAGCACATCAAAGTGCAAGTAGATAAATAGGTACCGCTCCAGCGGAAAGGTAAACGGCATTTCCGTGCGCTGCTCTGGTTCGCCAGAAGCGGCTTAGTCATGCTGGCCACATGACCCGGAAGCTGTATGCCGGCTCCCTCGGCCAATAAAGCGAGATGAGCGCCGCAACCCCAGAGTCGGCCACGACTGGACCTAATGGTCAGTGGTCCCTTTACCTTTAACAGCACTTTGAACTTAGCTTGGTAGTTTATTAGCCACCAGTGAAATTCTTTTAGTAGCGACATAACACTCTGGCAAGAGTCTTCCCCAGTGATTAGTCAAGCCACTGTATTTTGTACTAGCTGCAGCTTCTGGGCCAACTGCAAGGGCAGCCCCACATAGCATACATTGCTATAACCTAACCTGGAGGTTACCAGTGCAAGGACAACAATGGTCAGAACCTTCTCCTGGTCCAGAAACAACAATAGTTGTTTTACCAGCTGAAGCTGGTAAAAGGCAATCCCTGCTACTGAAGTCAAATGAATCTCTGGTAAGAGAGCTGGATGAGGAGCACCCTCAGACCATCAGGATGTTACTTTGGGTGAGAAGATTTGAAGCTGGCTGAGAGACCATACCCAAAGAGTGTGCATTAGTGGCTTCCTGTCACCTTGAAGGGAAGTGACAGGCAGGTGCCATGGGGCTCTCTCCTGACCCAGGATGTTTTGCTGCTTCAGGTAACACAGAAAATTCCCCCTCCTACTTTTCTGCAGCCCCCAACTGCTGCTGCTGCTGCCCCTCCCAAAGGCCGTGGGGAGATAAAAGGAGACCAAAGAAGAGTGGGTAGGCACAGCAATGGAGGAGACACACTCCTCAAGCCAGATCTGCCACCTGAGGCAACTGCCTCACCTTGCCTCATAGGCAGACTGGCCCACCTTCTAGGCCTGGTGCTGTTAGACATCTTTATAAATGATTTAGACAAAGGATTATATAGGAGATACTCAGTATATATACAGACAGCACCAAAGTGGGTGGGGTAGTCAGCACCTTAGGAGACAAAAACTGGTTCAAGATTATCTTAACAGGATGGAGAATCTGAGCCAAAGCTAACAAAATGATTTTCAACAGAGATAAATGTTGTTCTGTATTTCGGAAGAAAAATACCACATGTATATATAGATACAAGATGAGTGACACCCAGCTTGACAACAGTATATGCGAAAAGGATTGGGTGGTGAATAGAAGACAAGCTAAACAAAGCTCAGCAGTGTGATGTGGCAGCTAAAAAGGCGAATGCAATTCTAGACTGCATCAACAGGAGTATAGTGTCCGAATTGCAGGAAGTAATGGTAGTGCTCTATTTCTGTTTTGGTCAGACCTCACCTAGAGTACTAGGCACCACAGCTTAAGAAGGATATTGACAAGCTGGACCATCTCCAGAGGACAGTGACAAAGATAGTGAAGAGCCTGGAAACCAAGTCTCATGAGGAAAGGTTAAAGGAGCTGCGTTATGTTTAGCCAGGAGAACAGATGATTAAGAAGCAACATGATAGCCATCTTCAAATATCTGGAGGACTATTGCAGAGATAATAAGAGCAAATTTGTCTTCTGCTACTCCAGAACATGGGACTTGAAGCAATGGGTTCCAGCTACAAAAAGAAAAAGAGAACAAGAAGATAAGGATGAAACACTAGGAAGAACTTCCTGGTGCTATAAGCTACTTAACAGACTGCTTTGGAAGATGGTGAACTCTCATTCATTGGAAATTTTTAAGCAGAGGCTGCTTGACCACCTATAACTATCAGGGTTGCTGCAACAGTGGATTTCCTGCATTGGTGGGGGTGGACCAGATAATATTGATGCCTCTTCCAACTCTATGATTCTGTGCTAGCATGAACCCTTTCCCTGAAAATGCTTGTGAGATTGTTTGTTTAGTTTGACAGATTTGATCATCATTATTAGAGAGATGCCCAGGCTGTAAGATTCATTTTGCATTCACCCATATCAGTGCATTTTTTTTTTAATCCACCGTTTCTGAGCTGCCCTGTGTACTCTCCACTTGATCTGTAATTGTTTTCTACTCTGTATAAAACAATGTGCAGGAACCCGTCCAGAGTGGGTTAAGTCTGTCAAATTACAGACAATTTATGGGGGAAATAAAAGGGATTCACTTTCCTCCATAATCTCTGGGGTTGGGGAAGTGAAGGGTTGTCTCTTACCTTACCTTAAAATAATTTTTTTAATAAAAAAAATTGCCGCTTCATTCCTGCATTTCTTATCCAGGGTTAGTTTATGTCCTCCGATAGATCTTAGACAGGCCTTGCATCATGAGGCTATCTAGAATGCTGCCTGTAGAGTTCTGAAGAATCATAGAAGTTGGAAGAGATCCTGAGAGTAATCTAGTCCAAGCAGTGCAGGAATACCCAGGAGATCTGCAACCTTGGCGTTACCAAGAGCTCTGAGGTTTGTTGTTGTAGTTGTTGTTAAAGCTGATCAATATAGGACTTAAAAAAATAAAGTTAAATTAAGCTTTCATCTTTTAAAAAAAGACACACACCCCCATTTCTGTGTTTCGACAACAACTAAACCCAACTGAGAGCTCTTAAGTGCTCTGTGTGTAACATTTTGGACAGCCTTATTTCTTGCAAAAAAAACCATGGATGGGAAGACCACAGAGATATAGGCAAATATAGAGCTATAAAACAGAAATACAGAATAAATAATACTGCAAAATCATCCCAATTCACAAGGTTATTTAGCTCCTAAACCAAGTCAACGCACACACCCTATTTATATTATTAAAGCTTCCTTAATGACATTTTGAAAATTAGGTTGGCTTTTGTTCTGTGAAACCACAGTCAGCTAACTGGGATGGGAATATGGGGGCCATCTATTCTCTTATTTGAGTCTTTGAAGTTTGGGAATCCAGGATTGCTGATTTTGATTAGTTACAGTCTACTGCTTCCTGAAGTCTGAACATGGTAAACAAGTGTGGATCTATAATCATTTGCAGTGGGTGAAGAGAGCAGAGCAGATGGGAGCAAGAAGACCCTTTGCCTTCCCCATCAGTGGCTAATAATCCAAGCACACAATGGATGTATGGCATTCCTGGGCAGTTCTTTCTTCTTCCTTCTCTCCACCCTTCTTTTTTATTGACCTTAATGAAAAAAATGCAAAGTAGGCTCTCTCATTGTTGCTTCTCTTTACTAGTACACAGGCCACTCCACATGACTTTGTCCTCAGATCAAATGGATAATGCCAATGAAGGCAATGCTAAAATTGCACTGTTGAAAAGAGAACAGAGCAGGGCAGGGCAGAAAGCACCTTTGCTCCTAGTGGTTCTTCCTATTCCCAAAGCACTGTGCTGCACAGTGGCTACTACCTGATTTTCCCTCCAAGGCATTCAGTCCCAAGATTTCATTCAAGGAAGGAAGCATATCATTGCCATGTTGTTGGAAACACAGAGAATTAATTATGAGAGTTGTAGTTTTTGTTGTTATTGTACCTATTGCCTTCCATAGGGAAGTTATGTGTGAGAAAAAATTAATTTCCTTCTGATACTATTCGATTTTTCTCTTTACTGATATTATGTGAATTTCTATACATTATACCTCACTGGCCTCCTCTCTGTAGCAGTGTAGTTGATTTTGGGGAGGCTACTGTGAAATCCTTGGCATGTGGTGAGAGTTTATACTCTGTGACTTTGGGTCATCATATTTATTCTAAAGGCTGAGGCATAGTCTGGTCTGAGGAAAGGTCCTGAAAACTGGTTCCCCGCCCACGTTTCTATAATAGAGTAATAAAGAGGCCTGTCATTCTGTCAAGCTGCATGTATGTGTGCACAAAAGGGGACCTTTCTATTGTATATCTTCCATGATTTCATTGATTAAAGCAGGAGCAACTGAGTTTTTTCAATACCTATTATCTCATATCAAGGTTTGCTGCCTGAATGCAACACCAGAAGCTTTTCTCTGTCTGTTGTATTCATATATGAGAACCTACTGAAATGAAGTCAATTACCTCAGCTAAGACCCAGAAAAACTGAGGGGGGGGAAATAAAATTATGAAGTCTAATATGTTTCCCTGTTATGTCCTTGATTGACCTTGGTCCAAACATACTATGTGCCTCTTCGTTGCCTTCATCTCCCCCCTTTCCTCTGCTTCTCCCTGCCTCTTCATGGCAATGGTGGTGGCAGTGACAGTCCCTTCCCCTTCACCGGCCTACATATTTGTTTTGTCATTGCTTTAGTAGCGGTAGTGATGCCAAGGCCTCCCTTTGGTCTAGGAAGGGGAGGGGTAGACAGGTTGGTGGGAAGTGGTGGGGCTGGTTAGGCAGTATGTCTGCTGGTTGTCGTTGCCAGCATCAGGTGTGGTCACCATAAACTGCACGACACCCCTATTTGCTACCCTTCTGCCCCAGCATGTCCTTGTCTATATGCTTCTTAGTTGTGCAGAAGAGTGATTTTCAGCAGTGCAGATTGTTCTGCAGGGTTGAAGAAAAATATGCATCGCCTGAAAGCCCCACTTTGATAACCGTAACTAACCCTGTCCTCCTTTGCATCCTGTCACCCTAAAATGTGTTTTGCCTGAGGTTCATGCGATTTGAACAATTCGGTCAGTAGTCACAAACCCTATACAGTGGTACCTCGGGTTACATACGCTTCAGGTTACATACGCTTCAGGTTACAGACACTGTTAACCCAGAAATAGTGCTTCAGGTTAAGAACTTTGCTTCAGGATGAGAACAGAAATCGTGCTCTGGCGGCGCGGCAGCAGCAGGAGGCCCCATTAGCTAAAGTGGTGCTTCAGGTTAAGAACAGTTTCAGGTTAAGTATGGACCTCTGGAACGAATTAAGTACTTAACCTGAGGTACCACTGTATGGTCAGGCCTCAAAGATACGGTACTCTGTTTTGAAGCGAAGCAAATTGTGAAGCCAATTTGTCTTTGACTGCAGACTAAATGTGATTTAATTTCATTATTAAATGCATTAAGAATATTTATCAAAGTGGTTAACATTAAAGAAAATCCATACCATAAAAATTACATACCAAAGAAATAAACAGCACTAAAACCAAAATGCAGCACTAAGTGATCTTTACAAGCAGCAGAAAATGTATGGGGAAAGCCACTGAAAAATAAAGAACTGTATTGTTACAAATCAGACAGGCAAACGGCCAATTACTATTGTTACATTTTTAAAAACAGATTTGACCAAACATAAGCATTAAACAGCAATCAAATTATAATTTGCACAAAGAGAAATGTAAACAGTTTTACCAGTGATAGATAACATTAGCTGAAGAATAGTGATGTGATGCATTGTTAGGAAAGTTTTCCATGACAACAAACACTTTTCCACCAAAATGATAAATGGTTTATATGCCCTGCTGTAGGATAAAAACGTAATATTTAACAAACCCTCTAACTAATCTGCTGTGATGTGTTAATTTTTCATCTGGATAATGTGCCATACTCTTGTGAACCATCCTTGGATTGAGCAGCCTGAAGGTATTTTCCAGATTTTTGCTGTTTCCATCCAGGCCACCACCAACAGAAATATATAAATATGTTCTGTAATGTCTTAGAAAATGGATAACAGTGTTAATAGGGATCACATTTAATGTTACGTTTCAACAAGATGATACAACAAAAATTAAACTGACAGAAAAACTGATTATAAAAGGCAAAAAGAAACAGAAACTGTTTGCATATACAGTGGTACCTCGGGTTAAGAACTTAATTCGTTCTGGAGGTCCGTTCTTAACCTGAAACTGTTCTTAACCTGAAGCACCACTTTAGCTAATGGGGCCTCCCGCTGCCACCGTGCCTCGATTTCTGTTCTCATCCTGAAGCAAAGTTCTTAACCCGAGGTACTATTTCTGGGTTAGCGGAGTCTGTAACCTGAAGCATCTGTAACCCAAGGTACCACTGTATGTATTACTGTCACTGTACATAGTCAAATTCTGATGAGGGTGTTTCTCAGGGTCAGATGCTAACAGAGTCAGGAGATACTGGCTGACACTGTTTTGAATGCTTGTGTTCAGAAGAAGCACACTAAAGTACTAAGAATTTAGATGTTAACACACAAATAAGCAGGAACTACAAGGAATCATGGGAAGAATGAGGTTGGAAAGCACCATAGCTTAGTAGTAGAGCATCTACTCTTGCAGAAGGTTCAACCCCTGACATCTCCAGGTAATGGTGGGAGAGACACGGCCAGTCAGTATATAGACAATACTGAACTAGATGGACCAAGGGTCTGGCCTCAGTATAAGGCAGCTTCTTGTGTTCCTACATTGCGCTCTACATTGTTGCTTCCACAATGACTGGTGCATGACATCCACAATTACACTGGTGATGAAGGGTGGTTTAACTCTTGCTGCGACCCCAAAGCCATAATTGGTGAGAGCAAATGAAACTGATGGGCTTGTGCTATGAGATGCAACTAAGGCCTTCCTAACATTGTCCTACATTCTGGTTCATTGTGTTACACTTATTTTCTCCCGGCCAACACGATTCCCAACCACCCCATAGTGTCTAGGGTTAGCACGTTTATGCCACCCTTTGCCGGTAGGGATATTCCCTAGTGCCACGAGAGAAATGTGCAACCCTTCGTTGGATGGTTTGAGGAAAAGGTGAGATGGTGGTATTCCAACCTTTGCTATTTTCGTGCAAGTCCCTCTCCTATAGTGCCATCTCCAATTCCAGTGTCAATTGGACAAGCAGAGAAACAAACCTTGCAAGGTACTCATGACTATAAAGAAAACTATGAAGACATGAAAACAGGAAGGGGGGAATTCTGAGGTTACTGGCAAAGAGAAGCCCAGTTTAGCATTATGCACCATGTCAGCAGAATGGTCTATTTTTAGTCACAAAACATGTTTGATATTAAATGGCTGTCCCAAGAAAGCCATCTATGTAATTTGAAATCTTGCATGTTACATTTTGAACCCCGTGTGATTTCTTGCAGAACATTTGGCCATTTGGGGATTACGGAAGCCAGTTCTTATAATCGTACCTGCATAGCTTAGGAGGTTTTGAAATGGCAGATCTGAGATGATTCATATTTTGAAGCAAACTCTGAGTCACCCTAGTGTTAGAACAGCTCCCACTCAAATGAAGGAGTTCCATAACAATTCTGCCAAAGAACACCACCTACTTCAATAATGCACTGGTCGAACAAAAGTAAAATTCTACTTATCACCATAGAATCTGTAAGTTCAAATTAAGAAAAGAGGTCAAACCCAGAATGTTGTAGCTACATATAAAAAGCAGATGACATCAAGCTAGCATTAGATATTTTCATCTTTGGTGGTATATGTCAGCTGATGATCTCATGTACCTTAGCAAGTAGTTAAGAGACACAGACTGAATTTGGCTTATTTTGGGAATTCTGTGGTTTGACCTACAATATTCTATTTTCTGATTTTGACCAATAAAAGGATGGTCTGTTGGTCAGTCTTTTAAAGCAATGCATTTAGTAACATAGCCATTAATTGACGATCCATGGAAATTTGTTGAATGTGCTTTAGGGTGCCATGTTGAACATACTTACACTGAACATGGGGACTCATATCTGAATAAACATGCATAGGATTGTGCTGCACACCTTTTGTTTTAAATTAGCCACCTTGTTCTTGCTTCATAAACAAAATATACCAACTTGCTTACTGAACTCAGGGGAACTTACTTCTGAATAGAGAAGCATAGAATGCCATTGTCAGTTACTAACAGAAGTATACAGTAATCATTTTAACTGACATCTTTTATTTCTGATTGTTGGATTTAAATGCCCTCTCATTATAATTAACCTCCACTGTCCATTTGAATCAAGCTTAGTGAATGCTTTGCTTCCTTATTTAAGAAATAATACGCCCTTTCATTCTGATATGCCTATTCATATTTTTTCATTGTAGTATTGCCTCTAACTTCTTAATTGATCTGCATGATTAGATCTCTGACAGCCTTTTGGAACGCTTGGCATGAGAATCTTGCACACTCTGAACCTAGGAAAAGTTGGAAATAAATGGAGGTTCAAATCACTCACTCAGCATCTGCTTAGTCTCCTCCCACTGCTGGTCATGTTAATGTTTCTGTCTCCTATATCTTCAACTGTGTGTACATTACTACACCATCCAACCTTCCTTTCCTAGTACAGATCTTAATTTTCATTTGGAATATCCTCAGTTATTTTTGGCCTACAAAACAGGAAGAACGAAGGTTGGGCAAAAGAACAGCAGTGGCTTTAAACTGTCATAAGGAACATGTACAAAAGTAGGAGCCAAAGCATTTGGGGATTAGGAAAATGTTATGTACTGAAGTTCTCACCCTGGGCCAGCAGGGGGGGTACTGTAGATAGTTTTCACTCAGGTCCACATATGCAAATAAGGAATTGAAAGTGATGTTCAGTGATTGGATAGTTACAGAAAGTTGTTACTGTTGCGTTGTAGTGGAGCTCTATATAAGCAGGTTGGCTGAACCCTTCAGTTCAGTTCAAGCTTACTATAAAGAGCTACTTGGAGAACTCTCTGTGTCGTCTGCTTTGTCAACCCACTACTTAATAGAAAACTCCTGTGGTTACTAGACTATACTATTTAAGACTACATGTAGGTTCCTCTGCACCAAAAATGCTAAGAATACTTTACAGAAAATCTGGTTTAACTTCTCCATGACATTCTACTTTTCTAAGTACAGGGACTTTTTTCCCCCTGATGAAGAAATGAAGCATGTGACCCCCCTCCCCCGCCTGACGTGGTTAAAGATTCAATTCAAGGCTGAAAGGCAGATCTGTTACACAGGAGGGAGACTTGAGGCTATTTACACGGGCGTGTGCTTCTGTTCTCCATAAATGGCGGCAGAGAGGGCGGTGCTGTTAGGCTAGGCAACCGAAAGCCAAGATGGAGATGTTTACGATTGTATCGGACCCGACCGCGAGGTGGTGCTTTAGTGTCGCTTTGCTGGTAGGTAGCTGTTGCTGCTGCTGCACGTCACGGTTCAGTCTCCTTTTCTTTTCTCACCCCGTCCACGATTTACGAAGTTACATGGTTTCTGCTGCCTCTCATCCCTGTTGCGATGCATGCACGGCAGCGATTGCGGGGTTACCCCCTATTCACGCACCTGGGAATGGCCAGCCCCACGGGAGTTAAATTCAAGCAACGGACCTAGATTAAGTAAACCTTCAGACGGGATTTCGGTTCTCAGAAGCGCCTGTTCCTGCTGCGTCCTCTCCAAAGTTGCCATCCCAGCAAATTTAGCTGGGTCGGGGCGGCTTGCTCCGAAGAAGACACGTGCAGGATTGCATTACTGGTAAAAGGCATTTCGCAGCCTATGGATACGAAGCAAGAATGCTTGCATTGCGCGTGCAAACTTGCAATGCAAACGTCCGTGCTTCGTATGCACGAATTCTACGCTAGTTCCCGTGTCTTTTATTCTTTAAGCTGCCCGTCTTTTTAAGTTTTCCACCCAGAGAACCTTTATGACTCCCCAATACCGAAATCTAAAACGGGCCTCCGCCTTTCTAACAAGTCACCCGAAACCATAATTTAAGGCGCGGCCACAACGTCCTTAAAAAAACCACACCACCCTAATTTAATTTAGAGCGGCCACGATTCCAACCGCCACGCTGCCTAGTCGGGAATCGACACGCAACAAGGTCAGCTGGGCGTGGGTGGGTGATTTTGCTCCGCCGCGCCCTCATTGGCCTCCTTCGGCAGCCGGGCCAGCCAATCAAGAGCAATCGCCAGTCTTCTGGCGCAGAGTGTTGTTGAGCGGTTCCTACGGTAACGCTGTTCCCCTTGCTTTGGGCCTCGCTTGGCCCCGCCCCCTGGTGCTCCATTAGACTCCTCCCCCTCGCGGCGGCGGCGCCGTTGCCGTGAGCGTCAGTGTTGTTGCCGGAAGTTAAGATGGCGGCCTTCACCGCGGAGACGGACCTGGTCACGGGCTGGTGCCTCTTCGGCCTCGCTTTGCTGGTAAGCTTGTGGGCTTTTGCGCCCCATGGGAAGAGTGGGGCGAGGACCTGGCCCGACCCCCGCCTCAAAGGGCTCTTTTCAGTTTAGAAAGGGAGGAGAGCAGGCGAATTATATAAGGCTCCGTGGTTTCCACGCTTTCACCCTGTCCCGCCTGTCCGTATACTGGGAAGCAAGCCAGGCTCACTCTCAAGTTAAGTTTGCATAGGCTGGCAGCCGTCGTTGCTTAGGGCGCGTAAGAGAAACGACGTGGCGCAATGTACCTGTTTAGAAATAAAATTTGCACCCATGGGATTTGCTTTCTAGGAAGCGAGTGAAAAACTGCGCAAGCCGAAGTGCTCGGGAGGAAGAGAATCGAGCAATAATAGCCAAATATCGTTACCTTGTTTTCCAGCGGGTGCGGAAAGAGCCCCTATATATGTGTGCGTGTCTCCTTGTAGGTTTCCCAGTTAAAGCCACCTTGTCGTTAAAGTGTAAGGTGGGTTAGGCGTCCCTTTTTGCACCCTTCCTTTACTGATCCTGTCATCCATTCGGGAGGCTAGAGTAGCAGGGGTGACTGGCATTATGCAAAGTAAAGTGGCATTAGGACAGTACTGCTCAGGGCTGCATGTAGCAAATACAGTGGTACCTCGGGTTAAGTACTTAATTCGTTCCAGAGGTCCCTTCTTAACCTGAAACTGTTCTTAACCTGAAGCACCACTTTAGCTAATGGGGCCTCCCGCTGCTGCGGTGCTGCCGGAGCACGATTGCTGTTCTCATCCTGAAGCAAAGTTCTTAACCTGAAGCACTATTTCTGGGTTAACGGAGTCTGTAACCTGAAGCGTATGTAACCCGAGGTACCACTGTAATAACACTTGCAGGTAGAGTTTGGTTTATAGCCCTTTACTCTGATGTGCAATAAGAAGGGAGTGTTTGTTTTTGTTTTGCATTGGTAAGCATATGAAATTTATACACCAGTCTTGAAATGGTACTGTCTAGAATTCTTCTACTTGAGCATACTAGTATGGAAATGTAAGGTCTTGAGAAGGGGAACTGTTTTTCTTTCTCCTGCCCTGTTTTAAGTACCAGATGTATTGATGGTATGAAATAAATAATCCCTACCTTGGCTTGCAATGAGGGAGTGTGGAACTGATGAAAGAACTTTTTGTACCTGCTTAAGGCTTGTGTATATCGCATATGCAAATGTCCAAACTAAATAGCACCCCATGGCTCAATAATTTCCATTGCTAATACAGTCTAAGATGCCCACTCTGCCCTTCAGCATGCATTACATGGCCTTTTATTGCCAAACCTCTCTACAGATCTTCAGTGAATATTGAGAGGACATACTAGGATTACATTAACCATTTCGGTGTGGCAAGCATCTACATAGAACATTACATTTCTGCAAATGTAATGTATGTTTGCACAACAGGTGCCTTAAAAAACTGGGCTACGCATGCACAATCCCTGTGTGAATGTGAAGAGGTCTGTGTGTGTGTATCTGAGAGAGAAGTAGGGAGCACTGTAGATGGTAGTAGCAGATTTGGGGAGTCTAGATTTAGTGGACAGAATGGGCAACCACACATGCATGGGTCAGGCTTTGTTTGGGGTGTCTGGGATCTCAGTTTTGTTTTATGACTGTGACAGAGGACCTGCAGTCAGTGCTCTCCCCCGCCCTGAAAAATAGGTGTCAGTACTCACCATGAAGTTGTTACAGTAAGTGCCGCACTTTTTAACAACAGAAAAGAGATGTTGGTACTGTCTACCTTTGAGTACCCCCTTAAAAAATGCATTTCCTGCAGTCATAAAGCTTCCTGTGACCAAATAAGTAGAACTCTGGACAGTCCAAAAGAGCAAGTGTGAGAGCCAGTCTGGTGTAATGGATAGGATATTCGATTTAGACAAGGGAGACTTGACTCGCTGCCCTTAGCTAACCTTGGGCAACCAATCATTGTTACATCATAGATTTGTAAACAATGGGATAACCCTACATAAGTCACCCTGAACTAGATTAAGATCATGTTGGTTTCAATTTGGCTGAAAGTTTACCAATCTGTTAATAAATTTACAAATGTTTTAGGAGTTCAGGGTAGCCTTATGTGTGTTACCTTATTGGTAACAATCCTGGTAACAAATGGGAAACTTGCTGTTACAAGGTAAAATAGAGTCCTGAGGTATTCAGTTACCAGTTGTAAGAACTGACTCATTACATTAACATTCAGATAAGATATGAAGCTGGTTAAAATAGAAGCCTTACAAGTGTTGAATCTGCACTTAAAAATAATGGCTTTGTAATTTTCTAACCCACTGCTGCATCTTGTTGGGGGGATGAAATGCTGACCTGGTGAAAGGGAAAATCTCAAAAGAAACACAATTAAAAATCTGTCCATAGAGAGTACATACCTTTGCATGGATTTTGTTTTTGTATTGAGAAATAGGATTATGGCAAGAATATGATTCTTTTACTGGGTTGTAGTAACTTCTGTATTATTATTTTTAGGTTATCCTGATATTCTGCTGGGTTTATGTCCGCAAGTACCAGAGCAGACGTGAAAGTGAAGTAATCTCTACTATAACAGCTATTTTTGCTCTTGCAATAGCACTTATTACATCAGCACTTCTGCCAGTTGACATTTTTCTGGTTTCTTATGTGAAAAACCAAAATGGGACATTCAAGGTATGTATTGATTACCCCTTCCAGCTACTTAAAATATATTCAAGTGGGCTGCAGTGATAAACACACTTAGTAGGGGATAAGCCCCATGAAAAATGAGACCAACAACAAAGACAAATGAACAGGATTGGTTTGTTGATTGGGCAATATTGTATCTTCTAATTATTCAGTCTCCTAACGTATGGCTAGAAGATCAGGCATTCTATCAAGTGTGACTACTCCATCTCCTTTGAGCTTGCACACTGTTTACTCTTCCCATCCCTTTTGAACATTACCTTGTGCAGTGTTATGTCTGCATTGGCATGCCAATAGCTACACTAATGTTTGTTAGCTTCTTAAATATTGAAACCAGGAAGCTGTTTGATTTAACTATTGGTAATTATTTTAACGCTGGCGCAGACACAACAGTGCACTATAGTTAGTTCTAACACGAAAGGGTGGGGAAGGAGTTACGTACAAACTTGAGCTGAGGGATAAACAAGGCATGAGCTTTCAGCCTCCTAACCATAATCAGCAGATTGTGCAATGTTATCTCTGAACCAGGCCCACATGTCAAATATCATAAAACTACATTTTCAACAGGAAGAGGGCAGCTGTATTACAAAATGTGCAGTGTCACTGAATGTAAAAACAATTGCTTCTCTTTCCAGCCTTGTACATACAAGTAAGGCATGTTAGGAGAGCTGAAGCAGAAGGATCAGTTAGTGTTTGGCACTGATTCAGCATTGGAATTTTGTATGTTTTATTACCTGAGTTTGGTTAAAAACAGGATTAATGGCAGTAATGTTCTGAATTTGTTTTTAAAGGCAGTGGGTTATATAAACTTCTTTCTTTTTGTGTGTGTTTGTTTTCCATATGTATATATTAAAACCATAAATTAATAAATAGAAATGGTACTGCTTGTTAAAAAGGCAGAAATAACTTATTGAAGTGACGATAACTTGCATATCACATATGACTAATCTTAAATTGGCATGGTTTGTCCATTGTTGGAGTATTACTGCGTGTGTTGCTCATTTGTACCTATTCACTGTGACAGGATATATTTTTATCTAAGATACATACATCTTCCAGGTTATAGCCAGGGCTATATGAATTACACTCCTTGCAAGTTAAGTTGTGTAGTGGCTTATTTTTCCTAATGTGAATTCCAAGATCCATGTTTCTTCCAATAATAATAATAATTTATACCCCAGCCATTCTGGGCAGCTCCCAACAGAATATTGAAAACATGATAAAGCATCAAACATTAAAAACTTCCCTAAACAGAGTTGCCTTTAGATGATTGGAAATACGAATTTTTGGATAGGTAAGGGTAGAAGGAAGGGAATTTGTCTTGAGAAAGGATTAAGGAGGTGCATATGACATGGAAAGTCATCATCGGATTATTTGTGATCTAGCCCACTCTGGGACTTCAGTTGCTGTGCTATATGTACAATTATTATAAACTCATTTCCCCCCTTTATGAATTTTAGAAGCATCTGAAACTTAAGATGCTAAATTCTGATGCCTTTAACATATTAAATTCTAGATTGTGTTAAAAATTGCAGTAAGGGGAAAAAAATGTCTTTGGGTTGTTACAAAACTTCTGCATTCAGTCTCTGTGCCTATAGCCATAGCACCTGAAATACATCTTTGAAAGACTAGCGGCCCAACACAGATATAGATATACACATATTTACATATTTGTCCTACATGGATGCCCACCTCAAATCTTTTAAGGGCAAGTTGTAATTTGAATTTTTCTGTGGTTCAATTATAGCCACAGTTGCATTATGGAAAAGCAATGGGTCTCTTAAAGTGTTATCCAGCCTGGAGTAAGAATGGATTGTGCGGGAAAGGATATAAATTCCAGTTCCCATCTGTTAAGTTTAAACTGTTGCAATAGTCCCTTCCATTCTCCTAGGTCATCTTATTTCTTCCATTCCTGTAAGCACATTCAGTCTAGCTTTTTAATGTGAATCCTATTAAAATCACCCCCCAGAAGTAATCCCCCTTCTCTAAAAGGGAATAAACTACTCAATATGTTACTTTAAAAAAAGAAGAAGTTTGATTAACATACCTGCTGTAGTAGTGGAAGCTCATGTTGGAGTGCTGATGGAGAATGACAGGTGTCTTTTCCCTAAGGAAAATACTGTTGTCCTGCTTCTTTCTGTTATGGAGAAATTTTTGTTGTGCCATGTTCTTAGTGTGGCTTCACTTTGCACTTGGAGGTAGTAGAAGGTACATAGTGGAATAAACACATCCCTTCTTCCCTAACATAGTACACAACAGTTCTTTTCTAACTCCTGAGCAGTTCTGCTTCTAACACTAGCATCCCCCCGCCCCCATTAGCTATAGCAGTCTCTCTGGCTGAATCAACATAAACCTGTATGGTCACTCCTGTGTCAAATGCTGTGTTTGTCAAGGTTACTTTCAGAACCCTCATTTCATTGGAAACAGGGTCTTGTAAACTTGATGTAAAGATATGAAGTGACTCTGAATAAAGGGTGCAAAGAGGCTCTGAATAAAGGGTACAAATTAAAAGTAGAATGTTGCCTCCCAGTGCCACATTAAGTACACATTTTGTTTACTTAACAGCCATAGTGCTGTATCTAGTAATGTTGGGTATGGCTTATTCAGGCACCAAGTGAGACGTTGAAACCAGGATTCTCCAGTGTCTTATGCCTTACAGACTGTGGAATGGAGGTGGAAAGTAGACGTGCGTGTTTTAAGTATTTTGTTTATTCAGAAAGAGCTCAAATTAAGCATACCTGTCCACATTCTTCTGAGCAAGTGATCTACTTAAACACTTTTGGCAGGCATCCACAGTTAAAAGTCATCAGGGGCAAGTGCCCATGGACGTTTGCAAGCAGCCTCTGACAGCCTCTGCAACTGCAATTTGGAGAAGGGATGACACAGCTGGAATGTGACCGGCGGGTCCTGTCCCTGCACCTTTTTCCAAACTGCAAGACAGTTGAGAGAAAAGTCTGTGCTTATTTCAGAGCTTGGAAGAAAGGTAGTCTGGTGTCTTTTGCATGGATGTTCAGAGAAGGAAAGAAATAGGGAAATTTCTGCTGTTTTATCATTCTCCAAATTTTTGAGAAGAGTTCTTCCTCAAATCCAAAAGGCATGGCAGAAAGGTGAGGATTTCTGACCAGTGGTTTGGATAAGATAAGATAAGCCACAGGAATCTTTCCATACCCCTGTGCAAGAGAAGCATGCTCTGCTTCTCTATGCTTGCCAGAAGAAGAGATGAAGTCTTCTCTCATTTGTTCAGCAGTTTGGACATGTAAGCCATTTCTGCCAGAGTCCTGCTTTTTCTATCCTTCTCCATAGTGGAGTGCAAATGAGAGAATCCTTGTCTCTGAACATGTTAGTGGATTTGGTTTGACTGGGTTGGTAGTGAGGACAGATGGAGGCAGACTGCCAGCCAAGCTTCTGTTTGTGGACCCTGGTTTTTTCGGGCAGTACTGGAGCTTGGAAGGGTAATAACGTGCAGTATTCAAAATCATTCTCCCTCTATTAGTAGCTGGATGTGTGCTGCACATGTACTGCCCTGGCCTTAACAGATTTGACAGCCATTGTTGAGATGAACATTTGGGGCAGGGGGATAGTCAATGTGATGTTGTTGTGGGCTACAGCTTTCATCAGCTCCACCCAGCCTAGTTTGGGGGATAGACCACATCCCTGTCAACTGGATGAGAGGAATGAGGGCAAACCAGTGTAAATTAATAGATACGGTTGTGGGGGTTTTTTGGTCTATTTTTATCATTTCAGATAAGATTATTACTTCCCTGGAATGACTCCAGTGCAAGGTTTTAGATAAATAGGGTTCTAGTGGTTAGAGTGATTTTTTGTTGCTGTTAGACTTACTCACCCCTCCTCAGGTCATAACAGTGACTGCTTTAGAAATGGAATTTCATTGAGTTCTTGCTAATGTAGCAACATTTGATTCTTTACGAGATAGATTATTTGAAAGTTGAAGAGGTCAGCAGAAAGTTGAAGAGATCAGCAACTATGTACAGTGGTGCCTCGCAAGACGAAATTAATCCGTTCTGCGAGTCTCTTCGTCTTGCGGTTTTTTCGTCTTGCGAAGCCCGGCTATTAGTGGCTTAGCGGCTATTAGCGGCTTAGCGGCTATTAACGGCTTAGTGGCTTTAAGAAAAAGGAAACAAACTCGCAAGAACTCGCAAGACGTTTCGTCTTGCGAAGCAAGCCCATAGGGAAATTCGTCTTGCGGAACGACTCAAAAAACGGAAAACTCTTTCGTCTAGCGAGTTTTTCATCTTGCGGGGCACCACTGTATAAATATATTTATGCATGCATTATGTGGGAACTTATCTGGGAACTGCAAGCCATATTGCTTTACATTGTAAATGTCTATGGGTGTCTGACTGAGCCTTAAAAGGAAATAAAGATATTTAGTAACAAGTTATTTAATTGCTTTGGGTGTGGAAGATCACAACTACTATGGCTGAAAAGTAATCTGTTTGTACTGAATGGTTCTTCTTCAGTAAGATACACCAAGTTCAGCTGTCGTCTCTGTAGCGCAACTCTTCAGAGGAGAGGGAAAGTAGAATGAAGGGTCTTAATTTCATTTGTTGAGGTGATTCTTTCAAGTTCAGTCGCCCATCTACATGTATGCGAAGCAGCAGAAGTTGATATTTGAAAGTAGTTATTGTATACTGCTTACACAAATTGCTATTTAATGTAATATTGTTGTTTTTCTTCCTCCATCAACATTTCCAGGCTTGGGCAGATCCAAATGTTACAAGGCAAATTGAAGACACAGTATTATATGCATATTACAGTAAGTATTATAAAATAACACTCTTTATGTTCAGATCATGTAGTTTTGTGGCGTATTTCATGTGTATACTAGTTTTTAATTTTAAATTGTGGTTTTTGCTATGTTCTGCTACTTCACATTATTTTTTTCTGGCTATCCTGTGAACAGGAGTGCTTTTGTTCTCTAAAGGTCTTCTATTAGCCAAAGGGGCTGTGATCCCTAGAGGCTTCCACTCTTGGAATAGGAGAAACAATTTGCAGTGATTTTGCCCCTTACCTCTCCAGCTTTCTGTGTCACCTCTCCTACCATTCTGGAGGTATCAACAGATTTCAGATGCTACAAGTGAAATCACAGGAAGTTGTCTCCCTGTACTATAAAAGTGAGATCCGTGGATCCAGCACAGTTAATAAAGAAACTATTCTAATGAAACAGTTCCATTCATATTGGTGTAGCAGTGATAGCATGCTCTGCTCAGTGCACAAATTCAGAAGAAAAGCAATGACTGAAATGTGGCAAGTTGTATTTGGTACAAAATTATACAATGATAGTGCAGATCAGTGCTATACTAAAGGCTTTGAATAGGTTCAGAGGAACATAACATCAACAGAGGATGTAATAGGATTGCTTTGCATATGGCCGATCACTCCATCCGAAACTTAATTCTGGCCAGGGCAGAAGAGAGACAGTTCGTTCTTGTTTTCTCCTGATCCATCTGGTGTAGCAGAAGAGCCCATGTTGAACTCCTTTATTGGAACTTTAATGGCCTAGGATCCAGCAGATCCTTGACTGAACCAACGCTACCATACTCCCTGAAACACCTTGTTTCCTTGTTTCCTCTGTGGCAGCCGAGCCCCTGTGGAGGCCTGTGGACAGGGTTGGGGTATTGTTTATGGGTGTGGGGGTTTTTTGGCGGTGGGGTGTGTGTTGCTGTTATTGATATTAATTTTTTGTATATTTATTTTAGATCTTATTATGATTTATTTAGTTGTGTACTTTTTGATACTACGTGTTTTGTTTATGTCAGATTTTGTTATGTTTGTAATTAAGGGTTCTTTCCCCCGTGTTGTAGGCAACCTTGAATATGGTTTTAACTATGGAAATGCAGCATACAAATAAAATTATGTATGTATGTATTTCTGTTGGCCTCCTAACCCGCTTCTAGAAACATGCATTGGGAGTTCTGATTGGTCCCTTAATCAGATCAATTGTTCATAAAATTTAGAACGTTAAACACTGACTTTCTTCAAGACTTCCAGTATCTCATTAAAAGATCTTGAGAGGCCTTGCTTCCTGAGATCTTTAGCGGAAAATGACAGATATTGAACTTGGTTCTTTATACATATCATTCTGCCACTCGTGTCTTCTCTCTCCTCTTAGTTTCAGAATTGTAGTGCATTGGGCTGCCATACGGTATTATTTAGGAAAGGCAGAAAAGTTACATCAGAGGTTGCCATAGTGGTGCTCTCTAGATGTTGTTGGGCTCCCGGCTCCCAGCAATCCAAGCCAGCATAGCCAGTGGTCAGGGGTGATGGAACTTGTAGTCCATTAATATGGAGGACACCACATCAGCTGTCTCTGATGTGCAGTATTCAAATTATCTCTTTCCTTAGATAGCAGTCTTAACGTCATTTGGTTAAAATTTCTGAAATGGCATATTAACCTCCCAAGTAGTAGCTTGCAATGCGATATTATTTTGTGTTACTTTTACTAAAGTTCAGAAAAAGCTGATGGCATGTTAAATTATAGAATGTAGAAAAATATTTTCAAACATTCTTATTTCATTCTAACATGTGCTCAGCAGGATGCTTGCTCATATGCTGCCAAATAGTTTAGTAGAGTTGCTTCTGGACATCAGCATCCTTGATTTAATCTTGGCCTCGCTTTGCAGATGTCTGCATTTTGGTCCCCTGCTAGGAGAAGTATTTATTAAAAATACCCCTTTCTAGTTAAGGAAATGACATCCCACAGTAAGGGGAGAATTCTTCAACGAAAGACATGTTCCAGTTTGCATAATGTGACTTTGATAGGGTTTCTTTATGGGAGCATGATGAAAGAAGTGTGGTTCCCTTCCTGAACATGAAGAAAAAATATTATTCTGCTGTACTATGAATTCATTACATGTCAGTAGCTGGTTATTGTTGGAAAAGGATGTCTTACCTAAATTCTATTCACCTTTCAGCTTAAGCATAACATGGCACAACAGTTTTTTACTTACAGGAGTAAATGATGCAATAAGGTTAACCATAACATTCTTCAGATGGAAGTTAAGAGGCTTCCCTTCTTACTGTGTTGTTGTTTTTGTTTTAACTGTTTATTTATGCTTTTACCTTGTATTTTTATCTTGTAAACCACCCTGAGATCTTATGATGAAGGGTGGTATGCAAGTCTAATATAATCAATCAATTGATCGATCGATTGATTTCCCCAACAGAGGTAATCTTTCTTCCATTCTAGATTCCCCCTCCTAGCAGGATAAATTCAGAACCGTAGTCTTTTGCCATTCTTAACAAAGCCGTTTTCTCTAAACTTGAAAATATTTTCACTGCTGAAGCTTGTATACCTGGGAAATGGCTTGTGTGTGCTGCATGATCTGTCAGAGCCATAGCTGTTCAGATAATGTGTTGCATGTCTCCAGACAGAAGCGTGACCTGTGGATTAGTAGGAGAAGCCTTCCTAATTTTCCAGTGTAATACTTAATGTATCTAGCATAAAGCTAATAGGCTAAAAATGTAAAGTACTCACCCACCTTTATTCACTGGTAATGTGAAACTCTTGTGGAAAGCCTATTCATTTGAGACTCTAAAGTGCTGACTCTTGAGGCTTTTAAGCTATTGAAATAATGGAATACAAGTAAGGGAAATAAAACTAAGTTTCTAGTGAGTACTTGAAGCTGCTTTAAGAAAGCCGTATATTTCCTACTCTAGAAGCATTATCACACACACTTTTATTTTAGATAATAAAGTTAAGTGTCCCCATCTTGAGGGAAATATTTTGTAGTCTGTAGGCTTGATGCTGTTGCACAGACCAACCTCCAGATGGAGCTAATGATTTAAGTATAAATAGAAAGCAATTCTAAATGTGTCAGATTAATGAGGTAGGCACCAGGTGCCCAGGCATTCTGTATGAGCGGAACCATGACTTCACAAAATGGCTACCAAAATGTACAAAGGTATAAATGGTACTAAATGTAAATCAAACCAAATAGTTCCTATCATAGATAAAGCTGAAAGCAAATCTCTCTCCCCCCACCCAAGGTAGAAAAAAATACTCAGAATATCACACAATTTTTTTATTTGAACACTGTAGCCTGACCACTTTTGTGGACAGTTTCCTCTGTAATCTTGAAATAAAACGTTTTGATGTTTAGATGAGTCTGCAGGACTTTTTATTAAAGACTGCATACTGGTCAGTCGTTCGATCTTTCTTGATTCAGTTTTAGTCTAAGGTTGCCTGTGGGTGTGTTAACAGATCAAGAAAGTGTTGGCAAGCCATTTTGCAGCCCGTAGGCTGTGATAGGATATTAGGAAGTGTGTTGTCATTCCTCTTGCTGAAAGATGGATGTATTTGCCTGGAAATAAAAGTAGAAGGATGGGATGCTTTGAGAATAGAAGATGACACTGGTAGTCACATGGGCACTGAAGGATCTTTGATAATGTGATTTCGATGCGTATTTTGGGGAGAGATTTTGGTAGAGGTGAGCCAAAATGACCGCAGAGAAAAGCATGTTTTCTTCCATGTATGAACCACATTAGGATTTCTTGTTTGCTCACCAATGTTTATCTTTAAAAAACACACTGTAACAAAGTTTTATACTTGCCGAAGATTGGGCTGAAGTCTTGTTTTTGTAACTTGCAATTTTTCAATAAGAAAACGTAAGGAAGAGATCCCTTTTGACTGTATGATTTGTACATATCTTTTCTGGAGTAAATTCACTATTCTTGTTTCTTGCTGATAGCATAAAAGGACTGTGGCAGTAAGTACTAGTTATAGGGCTCTTTCTGTTTAGTACTGACAGTTATAGTAAAGAATTATTTTCTACCATTCCTGAATTTTTAGTTCTGGCAATTTTTGTACAAAATAGTGACACGGTAAGGGAAGATATAAAATATGATTTTGGTCTGAGAACAAATGATAAAGGCTTCCTGCCCATAGCTATTGTGACATAAAACACTTGAAAATGGGATTGACCCAAGTTTGTTAGTGTTTGCTTGTTACTCTTGACTTTTTTCCACTGTTTCCCAACCCTTTACCTTTCCATTTAAATTCATACTAAGCTCCTCAGAACAGGGGTTGCTACCTCTTGCCCACGTGAGCCTGGAAAGCAAATGAGGCACCAACAATATATATATTAAAACTATGATAAGATCAGTCACATGCTTTTGTCAATCATCAGCAAATTTTAATTGGTCAACCAGGCTACAGCCAAAAAAACAAGCAAATAAGTGTTAGCAACCAAGCATAGACAATAAAGCACATGAGATGAAGCACATATAATATGTAAAGCATATATTCACATGTGGCATATACCTCAAGCTGTGAAGGCTAGTTTCGTAGGCTTACTTGAGTTGGGAAGCTTTTTCAGTAACCATAGTTGTATTGAACATAACAAGCTCAGCCCTGCTAAATGGCAGATGTTTAATTTTGTTGATGTCGCAAAGATGGCAATCGGCTCTAAGATTTTCTTTCAGTACTTTGTCCTTCGGGTTTCATATAACTTGCAATATAATATATAGTGTATTGCCTCAGTAGACCAATATTGTAGTAGTAAATGAGAGTTTGAAGTGTGTTAACATGTTTCTTTAACATCATTTTTGGGGAGAATGATTATTTTTCCATCCTTTCACTTCTAGCACTCTATTCCATCATATTATTTTGTGTGTTCTTATGGATCCCCTTTGTCTACTTCTACTACGAGGAGAAGGATGAAGATGATGGCAACACATGCTCAGTAAGATGATTATAGGACTTCTGATTGCTTGACTTGGACATCTAGTGAATAAAGAGGTTCTGGTTTATTCTACTGACAGCTGAAAAAAATCTTATTAAATGCTGTCCAGTGTTAAAAGTAAAATACAGTGCTGATGCTTGAAGCCAGTACTGGGAATTGTATTGACTTAATCTGTCAGTTAACCTACTTAGAGGCTCACCAGGTAGATCCTGAGCTAAGAAATGTGCTGGCTTTTTGAGAACTCCCATTGTAAACCCTTAACACATAGTGTATGAAGTTGGTTGTTTTCAGCTGACCATTGTTAAGATTAACCACAGCTTAGAATTTAAGTGACACGCTAAACTAAAATGAAAGAGAACATTTCTAATCTCCTTGCAGCCATGCCAGAGGAAGAGGGTATGTGAACTCTAGCTGGTTCAAAATACAGTGAATTTTAATATCTGAAAATTCAGTACAGGCAAAAGGAAGTACAACTGCACAGCAGATAGTTTTAGATTGGTTGCTTAGACCTGCTGTTTCTCTCCTGTGCAGTATTGGAAAATGAAGCAAAAATGTACTGCGTGGCATTTGCTATTTCAAGGTGTTGAGATGGTCACCATCTCAACACCTTGTAATAGGTTGCTAGGGAACGCAAGAAGGAGAGTGCTATTGCACTCAGGTCCTGTTTATGGACTACCCACAGGCATCTGGTTGGTTATTGTGAGAACAGACTGCTGAACTAGATACATCTTTGGTTTGACCCAACAAGACTCTTCTTACATTATGTTTAACAATGGTTTAGTATCATGTCTAAACACAGTCAGTGAAGGGAGATTGACTTGTGCGTATATAAATGCTCATGAAGTCTGTTTGTGAATAGACGCAGCAGTAACCACAGTACTTCTATAAAATGCTTGGCGATCGTGACTTTTGAGGCAGGATAGTAATTAATGCAGTAAATTTTTCATTGATAAAGTGCTTTCAAAAATTATTTCTACAGAAAGCAGTTTTGGCCACCACAGAGTGACCTGTTTGTGTGCTTCTCTAGAAGCTACATGTGAATGTATTTAATCAGTTTAAAGGGTGAGAATAATTTATTGCATTAAATAATATTGTGTTTTTCTCCTCTTTGACTTGACAACAGTGCCTTTGTGGTGCCAAAAAGTAAATGGGACCAAAACATCCCTATTTAAATGGTGGGGACAGAGAGACTATATATATTAAAGAAACTATATATTGTCTTAAGCAAGAAAACAGGAATTAACAGCTGGAAGTAAAATATAATCCTCTTTTATTGATGAGAACCTAAATACTGTGGAAACTTTCATTTTCATTTTAATGGAAAATATCCAGAAGGCTCTTCCAGTAATGAGCTTTCTTTCTTCATTTTCCATTGTTATGTAGTAGATATTTGCAGTGCAGATTACTCATTTTTAAAGAAACTGTGCTGAAATAGTGGCAGCGAAGATTGGTACCATTTGATGTGCTTGCTGCATGAAACAGCATGCCTAATGCATATTGGACATTCAAAGTCACACTTTTCTTATTGTTCTGTCAGGAAAGCATTTTGGCTTTCCAGAGGAAACAACTCCCCCCTCCTCCGTGTGCTGTTCCAGGGGTTCTCCCAACCCCTCCAGAGACAGTTTTGGGCAGTGGGTGGGAGGAGGAGGAGAGGAAAACCCCAATGTGCAAGCAGAAGCTGGTGGGACTCATTAGTTGAATCCTGTCCTTGAACTGCAGAGCTTATAAAAGTTCATAATTAACCTTAATTTAATGATATACAGGAAGAAATCAAGATCCTTGAGAATTTTTTAAATTTTCAATATAAATTTTCAAAAAAACTGTTTTGTGGGGCATCCAGACAGATGCAGTAGGCAGAATTAGCTTGAAGATATTGTTAGTTTCTACATATTCTTACTTTTTGTTCTAATTTTACAGCAGGTTAAAATTGCAGTCAAATATACTCTAGGATTTCTTCTGGTTTGTTCTGCTCTTCTACTAATTGGGTAAGTGGTTATGTTTCTGCATTCTAATACCACAAGATGTTGTAGTTTTCAAGCTTGCTGAAATGACCACCGCCTGCCTCTCATATATCAGCCCCCATAAATCTATATTTAACCAATTCTCATTTTAAAGCTCTTCATAATCTTGCCTCTTATCTCTTCCCTAATCTATGTCTCCTGCTCTGTCTCTTTGTTTCTCCAAATTTCTTGTTTCTTATATGTGCTCTCTGCTGCTTCTCTTTCAGCTTTGAACTTGCACTTCATCCCTCTTACGAAACTTTTAAATATTTTTAATGCATATTCCATCCATGTATTTGTGTGTCTATTTCTCCCCTCCTAATACAAGCAGTATCTAAAATACCATGTCTTGCTCAGGAAGTTACCAAGGTTGTTTGGTTTTGGTAGCCAGCCAAAATCTCTGCTTTCCAGACCTTGCTCCTCCCTTAGTGGGATGAATCTGTTCACACTGAACTTTTGAGATGTTTAAAGCACCTCCGAAGTGCAGCAGTAAGTTGGTGCTGCCAATTTCAAAGTTCAGCAGGTAGTCTGCAGCTTACCAACCTTATGCTTAATGTCATGGCATGGACGAGGTTCTGCCCCCTTCCTGAGCTTGGAGGCGAGACGGCTTTTCATGCTGTCATGGAAAAGGAAATGTACTCTCATCATAAAGAGAATGGTGAGCAGGGTTTTTCTTTTCTCTCTCCTCCATTTACTAATCTTAATGATTTTTAATCATCACCCTTGACAATAGGGATCTTAGAAGAATTTGAGTCCTGCCTGCCTGGCTTTGGATATTAAGCTACCTCCAATGGTTTAAGTTCCTGTCTTGTTCTGAAGCTGGTTTTTTCCCCCCTGGTTCAGTTGACATGGAAAGCTTTGGTTAAGGGAAGACCTCCTGGTTTGTTTTCTTGCTTTTGCGACGAGGCTGCATGGTGGTCAAAAGGCTCATATTTCGTTTTAATGAGCCAAGATCATGAGCATCCAATCAATCAGTGTTTCAAGGGAAGGCAACTGATGCTGCTGGTTATCACTGGATGCAGTAATTCCTCTAGCGTGCTAGGTATCACTGGATGCAGTAATTCTTCTAGCGTGCTAGGTATTCTCAAGAACTCCAGTAACAGTGTCCATTGTGCTGCATCAGCTACTTTTCCAATATTGTTAAAATAGTTAAACTCTCCTCATCCCTGTACCGCCACTTAGATTGAAGTGTGTTGGGACAAAGTTAGGCTCCCTCGCTAGCAGTAGCAGCTCATTATTGTAAAGTCTGTGGGTGTTGGTGGCGCAGCTGTTGTTTGTCAGCTAAAATGCTTGCTTTCAGTGCCACGCAGATGTGTGCATCCTTCTTTGACATAAAATTCCCTCATTTTAGCTTTGTAGATTGTTTTCTGTATTTAATTTAGGAATGCCTTCAAAGCTTGGGAGGGGGGTTATTGGGAAGGGTTTGGTCTTCATAGTCTTTTTAAGTGTTTTTAGTTGATAGCCAATGTTGGCCGTTCTCACTCATTGAAATTAGTGTGCACAAGTAACTTAAATTAATGATTTCAGAAGGTTTCCTCTTAGTAAGCATTAGTTGAATATCTCTTTGTATTTGTCACAAACTCTAGCAAAGCTCAGTTTCAATAAATAGTTGATGTTCTGAAATGTTCACTCTCTCTGTATTTGACTGGCTTTTCAGAAACCTCTGCTTTGGACACCAGATATTGTGAAATCAATATGGAGTTAATCTTTTCAAACCATTTTTGTTAGGAGCACCGAAATGTAGTGCAGAAGGCTGTAAAAATTTCCATGGTAATGTGGATCAGCCCTGTCACCATCCTAGTATTGTAAAGACCATTTGTATTCTTGATGTAGTGTATTTTGCAAAGTAACTATCAGAGGATAACATTTTTATTTTTTCCTCCTTGTTAGAGCCTTTGTTCCATTGAATATTCCTAACCAAAAAAATACGACGGAATGGGAGAAAGTGAAACTTTTGTTTGAAGAGCTTGGAAGCAGCCGTAAGTTAGAGACCTAAGAAGTGAATGATTTTGTATAACCTTACTCCAAATAAGACATTAAGTTTTCATTGGACTATTCCATTCATCTTTAAGAATCTTGTAAGTTTAGTGTTGCTCCAAGGAGTTACATGTTTGGAATGTTGAGAGTGTCCTGGGCACTATCCCCAGTGGTCACTTTTTCACTGTGCCCACATGGACCACATTCATGACCCCAGAAAGGCTAGATGCAGGGAATACCAAATTTTAAGGCAAAAACCTGCAGCCAGAAACAACTGCTGACATTGATTTTCTAAACTCTTAACGTCATGACGGTGTACTCTTCGTTTTGCTTACTTAGGCTGTCATTCCATTGTGTTGGACAATGGTAAAAGCATTTATATTGTAAGTCCTGTGTCTAGAATAACCTTGCAGCTGAAATTTTATTTTTGATCTGTGCATATGTTTCTATATTTGTTTATGCTGTTTCCTAGGGACGTGGGTGGCGCTGTAGTGTAAACCACACAGCCTTGGGCTTGCCGATCGGAAGGTCGGCGGTTCAAATCCCCTTGACGGGGTGAGCTCCAGTTGCTCGGTCCCAGCTCCTGCCAACCTACCAGTTCGAAAGCATGTCAAGGTGCAAGTAGATAAATAGGTACCGCTCCGGCGGGAAGGTAAACGGCGTTTCCGTGCACTGCTCTGGTTTCGCCAGAAGCGGCTTAGTCATGCTGGCCACATGAACCGGAAAAACTGTCTGTGGACAAGTGTTGGCTCCCTCGGCCAGTAGAGCGAGATGAGCACCGCAACCCCAGAGTTGTTTGCGACTGGGCTCAACTGTCAGGGGTCCTTTACGTTTAAAGATGACACACACAGTGAAAAAGGGGGGGAAAAGGAAACAAATGTTCCTTAATGTGAATTTCAGCAAAGCATTTCCCATTTGTCTTACAGATGGTTTGGCAGCCTTATCCTTCTCTATAAGTTCTTTGACCCTTATTGGAATGGTGGCAGCTGTTACATATACAGTAAGTATTCATCTTTTTGTCTTGTGTTCATTTTGAGGTTTGCTTCAGCTGCAACAACTTGGAAGTCTTTTCGCAGACCTTAATCTATACTAAAAGCCAATGCTTTCAGTTGTGTTGGAGTAACAAATGTGACTTGGAATAGTTGAGTTGCAGGTAAATGTTTTCGAGTTTAGTTCGTGTCTCTATTATGCTTTAGCCTTTAAAAGAAAATGTCTAGACTCTGGAATCCCCCCCATTAAATACTTTCCCTTTCAAAACTGTTTAAAACACTTTTCTTAACATTGTGCATAGTGGCAGCTTTTTACCATGAAGCGTGATTTAGTTGAGCATGATTGAGCTTTACCATTCCTGTCAGAAGTATTGATGAACCTAAGAATTTTGTGGAGATTATAATCTGTTAAATAGTAAACTCTTGTTTTAGAGTTTCTAGATGACAGAAACGGTGATAGATGATAAAAGAATGATCTAAATTCTTTTAAATATATATGTTCATGTGTGAATAAGTTTTGTTCCTTGCCTTAAAATGGTAGTAAACTATGGTTGCAGTTTCTCAAAAGTTAGTACCTTGGCAGAGAAAGGCTTTAAAATGAATTGTGCAGATGTGATGTCTTCCTGACTCAACACTATAGTCAGCAGAATTTTGATGCCATCCCTAAGTCAATGTGTCAGAGCTGAGGGTATGAAGTGGGATTACGGTTATAGATCTCTGTATTCTGAATATTGACCTTCTCAGCATCTTGGCCAAAGTCTTTACTGATTAAAAGCTTTCACTATAGCAAGCTCTGTTTCACAAAGTAATCTTTTAATACTTATATAAACAGTTTATTCTGGTAACTGTTCCTTCGTCAAGCAAAGAACAATTTAGAGAACTTTATACCAGTCTCATTGGCCAGCAGCACATGTCCACTGCAAGCTGCATTATTAAAAAAACAAAAACAAAATACAATCGGTGAGTGGCAATTATGCTTCTTCCAGTTCTACCATACTCCCTGTCTGTGTGATGGAAATAAACATATGCTGCCTTACATTTGCAGCGCTTTTAAGAGTTTTATGGAGAAAATGTGTGTAAGCACATGAATGCATACAAAATCCTAGCGTTTAAAAAGCATTTTTCATTTGATGTATTTGCCACCTGAGGAAGTAAGACCCCTGCAGTTGGATCCACCCACATGGTTGTTTAATAAATACACACACAGCACAAAAACTCCCCAGTGCCATGGGATTGCGTTATTGAGAAGTGGCTTTTCTGTGTGGGAAGGGTGCCTTTGTGCTCACCTATCGGTTTGCTGTTTGTGTGTGTGTGTGTTCATTCAATGGTTGTGGTGGTAGGGCTTATGTGTGCAAAGGTTTCGCTTGCTTGTTTTTGAGCCTCATTTATGAACACAGATTATTTTTTTCTTGTGGTCTCCTTACCGTCAGAGTTAAGGTGTACATTGCTGGACTAAGAGGACCATTGGTCTGATTTTGCAGGCCTTTTATGCTATTGTTCAAAACACTTTATGAGATGTGAGTGATCTTAAGGGACTATTTTGAAACACTGTTAAGCTTGGGGCCTTCCTGTGCAAACTTCTGAAATCCAGCAAACCATCCAGTTGAGCTAGGTTGTATTCTTCGCAAGGAATCTCTGTGCAAGTGTAAACGTTTTTAGAAAAAAACGTTTACTGCTTGGCCTGGTGTGTTGTTCATTGCAGTGTTTAACAGGATATATGTTACTTTGATTTCTTTCACAGCCAAAATTGAATCTCTCTCATATTTTGATTGAACGGTAGCAATATTTTCCTTATATTTGGGATACGGAAGGGTAGACACTCCACAAATCTGCCCTTAACTTGTACTCACGTTAACCACCTCTAAACATGGAGCCTCACCATAAATGATAAATAAGGGCTTGCTAGAAACCCCATTGGCTAATTAGGCCAACCAAAATGTCATGAAGTAGGGTGCAAGCTTGCAGTTACTCCAGAACTCTTCAACAGGCCAGATGGTTAAAATACAAGAGTCTTAAGAGTGTGGGAGGAGGGAGCAGATGCAGACATAGATGGCTTGACAACAAACAATCTTTGTTTTTCTTCTCTTTTTTAATACCTAGGCTGTTGGAGAACTCAAAAGCTTGTATATTTTGTGACATTTTGTTTGTCCTAATAAATCATATGGATTTTGCTTCTTTTTCTTCTTATGGGCTAACATGGCTACCTGTTACCCTTTGTTAGAAGCTGTATCACAAACATTGCTTGCTTTAAATATGTTCTGTATTTAAATGATTTTAGATAACCTTGGGTATTAGTAGTGAACCTCTCACCAGCTTTGTGCTGCTATTTGAAGTCAAGGTAAAACAGTATAGCTTTTGCTGTGATGAACGTGATTGATTCTTTCCCCTGCTTCTTTGTTTTTGAAGGGTACATGTAAGTGGTTTTAGTTTTTCCAAAACATTTAATAATGTTTGCATCTCTATGAAAATGTCACTGTAGGTAAGCACTCCAGTGCTGATTAAAAAGATGCAAAAATACAAAAGATACATTTGAATATGTAGGCTGCAACTTTTAAGTGACCTTTTCCGTTATTACTAGTTCACAAAAACTTTGTGATAGCCAATACTTTACTTGCCTTAAATTATTCTATAAAATGTATCATTCATTTTGTAAATGTCAGCATAGTTTAAAATTATTAGAATATTAAATTGTATCATTGTCCTTTTGGGCAAACTAAGTTTGGGGAGGACATGTACATTCTGCATAGCTCTGGGAATGCCCTAATATCTAGTGGGGTTTCTTTCAATTGATATTTCTCCCTGAAAGGCTACAGAAATACAATAGGCAGGCATGGGCGTGTAATTGCACTGTAATTGAATGTTTTGTCTGCCAAGTATAGGATAATATTACGAGTAAACTAGTATGACTTTCGTAATGCATATCTTCTACTTAAACTGAACTTGATCTTTGGACTCTTAACATATTCTCATTATATTATTTCTTCTGTATAGCAGCGTAAATTCAGGTAGAATCCCCTCCCATCCTTTCTAGTGCCTGATCTCTCAAGGAGCTGGTGGTACCATGTGAGGAAACGAGAGACTGTAGACTACAGCAAGATACATTATTTTACTACTATTGTCCTGTGCTCTAATCATACTGTGCATGTTCACAACTATGCTACCAAAACGTGCAATACATTTGCTTAAATTAATAATTATTTAATCAGGAAAAAGATAATACAAATAACTTCGGAAACTGATCATAGGCTTGTGGTCTAAATGAAAATACATTGTGGAGAGTGGGGGGGGGGAATGGAGGGCACAGAGATCCAAGGAAAACAATGGAGAAGGATTTAGATTTTTGTTGTTGAAGGAATCTGACATGTATTGAGAAAATGTCCTTGGTTAAGATGTAGGGACTGTCAGTGTGTATGAACACAGTGTGTTGTATCATGATCATGAGCAGACACTTTTAAGGTAGGAAACCTTAAGGTAGACACAATAGATAACAGTCAAGGGAAGTCTGGATTCTGCTACTGCCTTCACAACACTTGTGGTAGAGAAGCACAGGTGAAATGTCTTTCTATTCTTTGGAACAAGTTCTCTTAGCAGCAAATATTTTTTGTTATGCCGAGCATGTCAGAATTGAGCAATTCCTTCATACAGGGCTGTCTAAGGCTGTTCTGTTTCCCCCCTGCATCAACTGCCTTGCCACATTTCAGAAGGCTTATTTTCTATGTACTGTACTCTTTCTTTTTTATTTATGCATTTGCTAAATTTATGATCCAAATGATCCTTCCTCTAAATGTTCACATTAGTGCATATTTGTTACATAGGAAAACTGAGCCCCTTCATTTTTTTGCTGTCATTCTGCTAGGAAAAATTAATAGAGAAGATTTGCAAATGATGGACTGCATAGTTCTCACCTTTTGAGAATTGTCATCTTCACTACAGGTTAGCTTATAGCCACTCAGAAATGGAATCATTTTCCTACTGAAGAGATTAAGAGACAAAAGGCAGCATTTTCTATTTAGAAACGCTCTTTACATATTCAAAAAATGGACACAGCTTTCATCAACTTCAATGTAACAGGGATTTTATTCACCACCTTTCTGTGCTACTTGTGTATTGTGTGCAGCTTCGCTAGAGGGCAGATGTGGGCAGTAAATATATTGCAGGGCAGGAATTGCATCTTGAAAGTATTTTGTGTTCAGTTTAGTGCTTTATATAGTCTAAAATTGCATGTTATGCATTCTAAAAAAACCTAACAAATAGTTTGTATTCATTTCAAAACACAACAGTTATTGCCAAGCAGTAATTGTACTTGAAGTTACAGGTTTAATTAACAAGTGGCACTTTCAGTGACTGCCACACATTTGGAAAATGGGCATTATTAGTAACTGTTGGGACTTAATGGTTATGATATTTACTAGTACTGGAACAAAAAGCACAAGCATTGCACCTTTAATCAAAACTAAGCGGTGGCTGCCAGTATATTTTCTTGTGCTCTAAATCAGAGGTTTTCCATCTGAGATTGCAGCCCAGCTTCTGTGAGGAAGGGACCAAGCCAAGGAAAGGGCTGCTTCCATAGGTTGGCGTGTTTATTTTCAGCCAGTGCCTGAGTCTACCCTTCAGCTCCTTCTGCCCCCTCTTCATAGGGCAAAGCCTGGAATATGGACTGCCATAAAGAGCCTTATGCCCATATATTCCTTAGTCCTTGTTTTTTTTATCTTAATAATGGATTTTTAATTGTTGTAAGCATCTTGGGCAGCCAGTTTTAGATGAAAGGCGGACTTTGAGAAAATCGGTAATGGTATTCAAGTTTTCCTGAAAAAACAGGTTGTCCATCACTACCAATTTCTCCTGCAAAGTTTTAAGGCCCTAGCTTAACTGATGATGGAGAAGATCAATAGTTTTGGCCAGATCCCTTTTGCAGTATTCTGCTTGAAATTGGCATTTCACAAGCTATGGGAGTATGGCTTTGGAGAGCTGCTGTTCCGTGAATAAAGGCAGTTTTGTTGGATGCTGCTTGTATGAGAGTAAAGGAGTTACTTATATTTTGGCCTTAAACTCTGCCAATTCAATAGGCTTAGCTGGAGTCAAGGAGCAATACTGTTGTAAGATATAGATGGTAAAATGGAGCTCATATACAGCTGTGATACGCCGTTTATCTCTTTTTGAATTTCCACAGCAGTGCAGTTGATCCTGGGTAAGTGGAAAGTTTATTTTCAAAAACGAAACTGAAAAGAGGGAGATGCAATTGGCTGATAAAATTTGAGTCAATTGAGAATTTGAGATAGTCCAAAGAAATTTTTCTTTGAGTGGGAAATGCCCCAGTGCCTTATTGGTATTTACTTACATAATTCGTATCAGGATTTATCACCATGATCTCATTTCTGTTACACCGTTTTCTCTTTTTTTAGTTTTCAATAATGTGTGTACACATACATGCCATCTTTGCTTCTGGCATTTTTATAGCTTTTGCTTTCTGGATAAACAGCCTCCATTCCTCAGTTACCCTTGGAGGGTTGTACAGTTAATGGCTGTATATCTTTACAGTCTGATAAACAGTTCCAAGTTTTTCCCCTTCAGTATAATTTAGAAATGCTATTAACCCCCCTCCCAAACAGCAACCTATTTTCACACATTTTTGTCACTCTACTTTCGATTGATATTAATACCTGGTATCGTTAGGTTTCACCTCTTACAATATTCCACCACCAGCACCAAAATGGAAAATAATCTCTTGGGAATGATTCTACATCATGACATAGCATCCTGCCCTTGGGGCCACTCTGCAGCAAATGGGAACACCACCAGGCTGCTCTGAGAGTTGAAGAAGCAAAGCCTTTTCTCTTGCCTAAAGAGGAAAAGCAACCTGTTGCCACCTCATCTTAAATAATATTAAGCCCCATACAGTGGTACCTCGGGTTACATACGCTTCAGGTTACATATGCTTCAGGTTACAGACTCCGCTAACCCAGAAATAGTACCTCAGATTAAGAACTTTGCTTCAGGCTGAGAACAGAAATCGTGCTCCGGCGGCGTGGCAGCAGCGGAGGGCCCATTAGCTAAAGTGGTGCTTCAGGTTAAGAACAGTTTCAGGTTAAGAACGGACCTCCGGAACCAATTAAGTACTTAACCCGAGGTACCACTGTACTCGTGACCAAATGCTAACAGATTTTGAATAACCCTTGAGATTATTGATTCAGGTAGGTAGCCGTGTTGGTCTGACACAGTCAAAATTTATTTAAAAATTGCCTAGTAGCACCTTAGAGACCAACTAAGTTTGTTCTTGGTATAAGCTTTCATGTGCATGCATACTTCTTCAGATACTTGAGATTATTATAAGCTTCATAGTCTGTTTTTACTCATCCTTTCTGTATTATATTTTTTTAATGCTTGGCAATATACTGTATTTTCAAATATATGGTTATTCTCTTTTTTTAAAGACCAATATAAGTTAGCTTCTCCCCTCCCCATATACTGTCATGTCACTCATAGAATCATAGAATCATAGAATCATAGAATCATAGAGTTGGAAGAGACCACAAGGGCCATCGAGTCCAACCCCCTGCCAAGCAGGAAACACCATCAGAGCACTCCTGACATATGGTTGTCAAGACTCTGCTTAAAGACCTCCAAAGAAGGAGACTCCACCACACTCCTTGGCAGCAAATTCCACTGTCGAACAGCTCTTACTGTCAGGAAGTTCTTCCTAATGTTTAGGTGGAATCTTCTTTCTTGTAGTTTGGATCCATTGCTCCGTGTCCGCTTCTCTGGAGCAGCAGAAAACAACCTTTCTCCCTCCTCTATGTGACATCCTTTTATATATTTGAACATGGCTATCATATCACCCCTTAACCTCCTCTTCTCCAGGCTAAACATGCCCAGCTCCCTTAGCCGTTCCTCATAAGGCATCGTTTCCAGGCCTTTGACCATTTTGGTTGCCCTCCTCTGGACACGTTCCAGTTTGTCAATGTCCTTCTTGAACTGTGGTGCCCAGAACTGGACACAGTACTCCAGGTGAGGTCTGACCAGAGCAGAATACAGTGGCACTATTACTTCCCTTGATCTAGATGCTATACTCCTATTGATGCAGCCCAGAATTGCATTGGCTTTTTAGCTGCCGCGTCACACTGTTGGCTCATGTCAAGTTTGTGGTCAACCAAGACTCCTAGATCCTTTTCACATGTACTGCTCTCAAGCCAGGTGTCCCCCATCTTGTATTTGTGCCTCTCATTTTTTTGCCCAAGTGCAATACTTTACATTTCTCCCTGTTAAAATTCATCTTGTTTGTTTTGGCCCAGTTCTCTAATCTGTCAAGGTCGTTTTGAAGTGTGATCCTGTCCTCTGGGGTGTTAGCCACCCCTCCCAATTTGGTGTCATCTGCAAATTTGATCAGGATGCCCTTGAGTCCATCATCCAAGTCATTGATAAAGATGTTGAATAAGACCGGGCCCAAGACAGAACCCTGTGGCACCCCACTAGTCACTCTTCTCCAGGATGAAGAGGAACCATTGATGAGCACCCTTTGGGTTCGGTCAGTCAGCCAGTTACAAATCCACTGAGTGGTAGCATAGTCAAGACCACATTTTACCAGCTTCTTTACAAGAATATCATGAGGCACCTTGTCAAATGCCTTGCTGAAATCAAGGTAGGCTACATCCACTGCGTTCCCTTCATCTACCAGGCTTGTAATTCTGTCAAAAAACGAGATCAGGTTAGTCTGACATGACTTATTTTTCAGAAATCCATGCTGACTATTGGTGATCACAGCATTCCTTTCTAGGTGCTCACAGACTGTTTGCTTAATGATCTGCTCCAGAATCTTCCCTGGTATTGATGTCAGACTGACTGGGCGGTAATTATTTGGGTCCTCTCTTTTCCCCTTTTTGAAAATAGGGACAACATTTGCCCTCCTCCAGTCTGCCGGGACTTCGCCTGTTCTCCAGGAATTCTCAAAGATGACTGCCAGTGGTTCTGAGATCACATCTGCCAGTTCTTTTAATACTCTTGGATGCAGTTCATCTGGCCCTGGAGACTTGAATACATCTAAACTAGCCAAGTATTCTTGTACTATCTCCTTAGTTATTCTGGGCTGTGTTTCCTTTGCTGAATCATTTGCTCCAAATTCTTCAGGTCGGGCATTGTTTTCTTTATCGGAGAAGACTGAGGCAAAGAAGGCATTGAGGAGTTCAGCTCTTTCTGTGTCCCCTGTTTGCATTTCACCATCTTCTCCTCTGAGTGACCCCACTGTTTCTTTGTTCTTCCTTTTGCTACGGACATACCCATAAAAGCCTTTTTGTTGCTTTTAACCTCTCTAGCAAGCCTGAGTTCATTCTGTGCTTTAGCTTTTCTGACTTTGTGTCTACACGTGCTGGCTATTTGTTTGAATTCCTCTTTGGTGGTTTTCCCCCTTTTCCATTTTTGTACACATCCTTTTTTAATCTTAACTCAGTTAAAAGTTCTTTAGATAGCCACCCTGGCTTCTTTAGGCACCTTCCATGTTTCCGTCTCATTGGTATTGCCTGACGTTGTGCTTTTAGTATCTCCTCTTAACAAACTCCCAGCCATCATGAACTCCCTTTCCTTTTAGTATTACTGTCCATGGGATCTCACCCAGCACTTCCCTAAGTTTTATGAAGTCAGCTTTCTTAAAGTCAAGAAATTGAGTCCTAGTATGCTTGGCTGCTCCTTTCCGCTGTATAGTAAACTTCAGAAGAGCATGATCACTCGCGCCTAATGATCCTTCCACTTCTACCCCACTAACCAGGTCATCAACATTGGTTAGGACCAGATCTAAAATGGCTGTTCCTCTTGTTGCTTCTCCCACTTTCTGGACAATGAAGTTGTCTGCAAGGCCAGTGAGAAATCTGTTTGACCTTATGCTCTTGGCTGAGTTTGACATCCAACAAATATCCGGGTAATTGAAGTCCCCCATTACTACTATCTCCCTTCCTTTTGCATGCTTGGCCATCTGTTCCAGGAAGGCATCATCTATGTCCTCCGTTTGGCTTGGGGATCTATAGTAAACTCCCACAATGAGGTCACTGTTATTCTTCTCTCCCTTAATTTTGACCCAAATGCTCTCACTTTGGCTTTGAGGTTCTAAATCTTGGATCTCTTCACAGGTATACACATCCCTGACATATAACGCCACTCCTCCTCCTTTCTTGTCTGGTCTGTTTCTCTGAAATAGATTGTATCCCCCCATTATTACATTCCAATCGTGGGACTTATCCCACCAGGTTTCAGTGATGCCTCTTGAACAAAACACCTGCGCTTCAATTTAATTCTTCCACCCCTTCCTGTCATAACTGGAATTGCTTTATAGGTTACTGTCTTTTGGGGGGTGGGGGTGGGAAGGGTATATTAAACATTTTCTTTCCATTTCACAGACTTTATTTTATGTGCTTTCTAAATTACTAGGTATTCCTTTGCTCCAGTTCTTAAATTCTTCTTTAGAGGAAGATTAAGAGCAAGGCTTTATCTGTGGTGGAACACATTCCCTACAAATAGTTACATAGGTGCTAGGCAACTGAGCTCTGTATGCCAGCTCAAAACTTATTTGCACAGGCTTTTAGTGAATAATGCTGGGGTTTCTGTTTTATCTGGGGTGTGAACTAATTGTTTTTACAGTTTTTATTTTTTAATGACGTCTTAATGATGTTGCTTTTGCTGAAAAGTGGCATGTAGATAGGAATTAACGGTGGGTTACAAATAACTAGTTTTTAAAATATAGGCATTACTTTCTATTTTCTCGGGGGGCAACAGAGAGGCTCCCTCTAAAGATAAGAAATGTTGGTGGCAGCACTATCTCACGATTACTGACCATTGGGAAACTCACCATCCAACTTTAGTTTGAAAACCCCCAAAACCTAACTATTATGGAAGAACTAACAAACCATTTGAGGACATCAAGAAACCACAAAGCCGCAGACTCCTTTCATAAAACTTGGCAAGACTCTTTCCTTTATTGATAAGGATTATGTAGATGCACAAGTGCCAAAATAGCATGTCCGCTTCTGGAATCTATACCTATTTTATGAGGTGTTCATGGAGATACTAGCCATTTATAAACTAACAAATGAGAACAAACCCCTAGCAGTGTAGAGTGATAAGACCTTTATTCTCTTCTGCTCATTACCTCAACTGCCTGCCTGTACCCCACAACAGATCCATTTACCTATCTACTTCTTTGCTCTCATAAGCAGAAGGTTGTACTGAATTTTTACGTTGCTGACTACTGAATTTTTATGTTGCCGATTTTATTGTTCGTGTTATTGTTATATATAGTAAAAAATATATGAAAACGATCAAACCATTCCACAAGGAATTTCTATTCTCTCATTCCTGTCTTTCATTTCTCCTTCCTTGTCTCCTACAACTTTTAAAAAAAGAATTGTTGCTCTAGAAACTTGTATACTTTATCTATGTTTGTCAAACTGCCAGTTTTTTATTTTCTCCCCTTTCCTTAGATGTACAGAGTCCTCATTTTTATTGCTTTTTATAATTTTGCAGTCTCCTGTTTTTTTGTTTATAAGATTTTCCATTTTTCTTATGGACTACTGCCAGTCTTGTACTGTATCCCTTTGCAGCTTTATTGCTTGCCAAGTTCCTCAGCCTCTAAAATTGGACTACAGCTGAGCATGTAACCTTCCTTTCTCAAAATTTACAGCACGTCTGAATAAGTAGCTACAGTTTTTCATACCAGCTATAGTCAATTGTCTTCCAAATGCTAAGTTTCTCCTCCATCCTCCATTGATCTCTAAGATGATTGAGGTAGAGATTGTTGCAGTTAAGAGGTATATAATTTGTTTGACTAACTAAGCACCCACTAGTAGTCCAATACCATATTCATTATATCGTGCTGAGATTGGTCTGATGGGCAGAATATGAATAAAACAACTACTTTCTGTGTAGGTTCTAGGATACTGATCAATGTTTTGTCTCAAGGTGATCACTTACAATTGAGAATTAAAACCATCTTTGCATTTCCTCCCCCCAGGCTTATGGCATGTCCGCTTTGCCTCTGAACCTGATAAAGGGGACAAGAAATGCTAGTTATGAACGCTTGGAAAACACTGAAGATATTGAAGAGGTTGAGCAAAGTATACAAAGGATTAAATCAAAGGTTTGGTTGGGTTTCTGTCTTAAAATATTGCTTTTTAACAGCTTTAGCTCTCTGGCCAAACAGGCTCTCTTAATTTTCATCCATTTATTAGGTGTTGTACTGTTGTGACTTGACTTGTATTTTCTCTTATATGTATCTTATCTTTTGCTTTTTGTACCCTGCTCTGATATTTAACAATGTGAGCAGTTTAAAATCTTTAGAAATATATGTTTAGATTGGGTAGAGGGCAGAGCTGGCTCAAGACATTTTGGCACCTGAGGCAAAGCACAAAATGGTGCCCCTTCCTTCCCCTTACCACCAGAGAAGGAGGAGTGAGTGAAGGTCTACATCAGGAACAAGGAGGGAATAAATCTATCCATTGGGATCTGATGCCCCTGTGCATCCTGCCGCCCGAGGTGGTCGCCTCACCTTACCTCAATTGTTTGGTGGTGGTGGTGGTTGTTTTTCTTCTATTATGTTTTATTGTAATTCATATTTGGTGTTAGCCGCCCTGAGCCCGGCCCGGTATAAATATTTATTATTATTATTGTTGTTGTTGTTAATTTTTAAAAAGTATATACTGTAATGTATATCTAGTGAGATTGAAATAACCAAAATGAATCTTCACAGTTGTATATAACGGTAACTATTAGCTCTCCTCTCCTGCTATATACTGTTCTTTTGATTTAACTGTGGCAGTGGTATTACAAGTTTCAATAATTTTCACACTTCTAAAAATATGAGTACTAAGCACACACACTTTTCAGTCAGGCACTTGCAGAGAGGACATTTTTGAGACTTTATAATTGGATTGATACTCTTAGATCAGAAAACTATCTCTCCACATATGCTTACTAGAACAAGTGATTTATTGAGTAGAATTAGTGCTTTTCTGGTTGTTGTTGTTTTTTAAATGTGGTGCTGGTACTTATATCATGATAAATGGTAAAATACCTCTTCCGCTCCGCCACTTCCTGCACCCTCTCCCACGTCTTTATTGTATTTGTGATCATTTTTTATTAGAAGGTTGATGATAATAAATCAAGAATACATAATAAATATGTTTATTGAGTGTCAAATAACTAAAAATTGAGCTAAATTGCTGCTGTGGGGGCATGGCATAGCACAAAATGGTGACCATGAGGATGTGGCATAGTACAAAATTAGAGTACAGCCATTGCTGTGCCCCCCAACCTTAGACAGCTCAATTTTTAGTTATTTGACACTCAATAAACATATTTATTATGTATTCTTGATTTATTATCATCAACCTTCTAATAAAAAATGATCACAAATACAATAAAGACGTGGGAGAGGGTGCAGGAAGTGGCGGAGCAGGGAGAGGTATTTTACCATTTATCATGATATAAGTACCAGCACCACATTTAAAAAACAACAACAACCAGAAAAGCACTAATTCTACTCAATAAATCACTTGTTCTAGTAAGCATATGTGGAGATAGTTTTCTGATCTAAAGTATCAAATCCAATTATAAAGTCTCAAAATGTCCTCTCTGCAAGTGCCACAAACAAAATGTATATTAGCAAAATACTCATATTTTAAAGTGTGAAAATTATTAAGGAAACTTGTAATACCACTGCCACAGTTAAATCAAAGAACGAGTATACAGCAGAGAGAGGACATTTTGAGACTTTATAATTGGATTGATACTCTTAGATCAGAAAACTATCTCTCCACATATGCTTACTAGAACAAGTGATTTATTGAGTAGAATTAGTGCTTTTCTGGTTGTTGTTGTTGTTTTTTAAATGTGGTGCTGGTACTTATATCATGATAAATGGTAAAATACCTCTTCCGCTCCGCCACTTCCTGCACCCTCTCCCACGTCTTTATTGTATTTGTGATCATTTTTTATTAGAAGGTTGATGATAATAAATCAAGAATACATAATAAATATGTTTATTGAGTGTCAAATAACTAAAAATTGAGCTAAATTGCTGCTGTGGGGGCATGGCATAGCACAAAATGGTGACCATGAGGATGTGGCATAGTACAAAATTAGAGTACAGCCATTGCTGTGCCCCCCCCCCCACCTTATGCTTGCCATACGGAGTCAGCCAAGTACTGATTCTGATTGTGGAGACCACACAATATTGATTTTTCCTACATGCAAAACAATGCTATTGTCTGATTACAGAGAGCATTTCCTGGTAGCAGGGAAAATAATTCAATGTGGCCACAGTACACTTATCTTTCGCACGCACATACACACTCTTTTGTGTTCCTTTTCCCGCCTTTTTTTTAAAAGCAAGCCCCAGCATGGGCAAAGAAGGCTTGTCTGAGGGGAATAGCAGGGGGAAGCAAAGCTTCTGGTATTATATACTGGACAGAAACAAACCACTGAGTGGAACCCTTTTTAAATGGCATAGCTGCTAAAATGAGATACTGGATATCTTTGAATTAAGAACACAAACAACCATGGAAAAATACAAACTTCAAGATTTACATCTTTTGTTCTCCCCCTTACACCCCCCATTAGTGCAAAGATGGTCGGCCTCTACCAACTCGGGATAGGCGGACACTGCAACAGCTTGAGGACAAGCTAAGAGCCCTTCGAAGGAGAGGGAGGCGTCTGGAATATATTGAGAAGAGCTGCTGGACAAGATTCTGTGGAGCCATGAGGCCACTAAAAGTAAAGTATAGCACATAATTTTTTTTAATGTATACCTGTATTATGTAAAACCACTAACTGGTTAGAGCACAAATTTAAAGTCCTTTTTTGACAATGCATGCCAGTAATGGGTGGTCCCAGAGCCTGAGGTAGGTAGATCATTCCTTTTTATCTCTCCCCTTCTCTTCCTCCCTGCTTTTTCCGCTCCTTGCCACCAACATGAGATTTGGACTGAGGGCCCCATGAAAGCTCTAAGGCTATAGGTTGATGCGGCCAGTCAGTCCCTTCTCCCTCCTGTGGAAAAGCCCGGAAGAGCACATGGAGCTTGTGTGCGGCTCTTGGGGGCTTTCCCCGCCTGCCTCCCCCCTGCATTCGCTCCATAGGACGCACACACATTTTCCCTTGCTTTTTAGGAGGAAAAAGTGCGTCCTATGGTGCGAAAAATACGGTAATCGCAGTACAGTGGTACCTTGGTTTTTGAATGTCTCAGTTGATGAATATTTCGGTTTTCGAATGCCGTAAACCCGGTAGTAAATGCTTCAGTTTTCGAATGCTGTAAACCTGGTAGTAAATGCTTCGGTTTTCGAATGCACATCGGAAGTCGAGCATGCCATGCGGCTTCCATATTGACTTTTCCATTTTGAGACTCCTGTATTGAGTTTTTGGTTTTTGAACGTTTAGGAACAATCTTCCGGAACGGATTCAGTTCAAAAACCGAGGTACCACTGTAACAGTTTGCTCACCCTGATAGCCCATTTGTGATATGGCTTTCAAAATCTGCTGTATCTGTGGGTAAATGTGGCCTGCTCACCTTGGGCTCCCTTAAAGCAGCTCTTTGCATCTGAGACGTTTTATGCATCTTTTCACACTATCCATCTTTAGAACAAATCAAACAAACAAAAATCAATACTTTTAGTTTCCCAGGTTGTTGGTAAGCAGGATAAGACTAGAACTCTATAGACCAAAGATTCTGGGGCAGATTATACTAATTAAAGTTCAAATAAGTCTTTAAGAATGACAGAAATGGTCCGTTACGATAGAAAATGGTGCTTATGTTGCCAAGATGTAGGGGGAAATAGGCAGTGATGTTACTTGGATGAACTTCCATTTTAACACTAGGTTGGAACAAAGAATCAACTTAGTAAACTCAATAGATAAATACTTGCAATATTTTGTAACATTAACAGTAATGCGTCTTTGTCAAATGTGTTTGCACAACATACTGTTTACAAATCAATCTGGTCAGGTCTCTTGTGAACCTGCCAATTCATTATATGCACAGTTTTCAACTATTTCTGCCTTTTTATAGTTAAAAGAATACAAGCAATCCTTGTTTTGTGCAGGGGTTACATTCCAAACCCCCACAGACATCAGCTGAGTGCGCGTAAGCCCACCCTGCCCCTTTTCATGATGTCTTTAGGACATCGGGGGGCTACTTTTGGGTTTGGTGACGTGTGTGTGATCACGCATCATTTGGACATGCCTGAATCACTTGCTGCCTCTATTATGATTCAAAAGTAAAAGCAAGATGTGGAAGATAGATGAATTTATACTATATAAGCACTAGATAATTGTGACATCAGTTCTTTTTTTAAAAAAGTTGATTTTTTAAAAAGTTCTGTTGATTTACTTGGAAATGAGGTTCCTTTGAAATATGCTTAGGACTGTAGCCATTGACAGTTTTGCAGTGCCACAGGGTCACATTCTATTTAGCAACTATATAAACTAAGTTGGAAGCAGGAGCAAGATTTATGGTTGAAGTTGCTGATAAAATTGGACAAATAGTGGATCAAATTAAGATGGGTAGACAGGTGGAGAAATGTGTGAACAGACTTGTAGGATGAACAAATAAGCAACAAATTGAATTTAGAGTTAGAAAAGCATCAGGGCACGAATGTGGAGAAGTGAAGGTATGTAGCAGAAGTAGAAGCAAAAGCCTGAAGACACTGGGGATTTTGAATTTATATAAACAGGATTACACCTGAATACTGCTGAAAGTACTTCTGGTTTTCAATATGCATGCTTTCTACCAGAGATCCTTTCAGCATATCTGGATTGAATTGTCACCAGAAAAGTATTATTTCATCTTAAAAATACCCTCTTCATATCTAAAGACACAAAAGTTACATGCAAATCAATCAGAAAATGACCTTGCAATATCCTGATTGTTTAAAATACTGAAGATAAATAAAAACTGCATAGTATTTCCAGTTTTATAGGAGTATACACTTGTCATGTGTTTAGTTTGGAGGTCAGACCTAATAAATTATTCCCATCATCATCATCATCATCATCCTACCGTTCACTCTTAGGTCCTAGGGCAAGTTACAACACTTAAAGCACAACATTAAAAAGAGTGAATCCTAATAATATACATTTCAAATATCAAAAGCCCAGGGTTAAGGGATGCATTTTCAGCATTCCCTAGAGCTCTTTTCATATAACGTGTTCTGGATATCTGGTATATATACACAATGCAGTAGTAGCTTCTTACAAGTTAGCATGCACTTTATATCCTTCAAGGACCTTTTCCAGCACGAAAGCTTTTACCACAAACACATAATAGCATATTGGCAATTAGGTAGACAATTAGGGACACGGGTGGCGCTGTGGGTAAAACCTCAGCGCCTAGGACTTGCCGATCGTCAGGTCGGCGCTTCGAATCCTCGCGGCGGGGTGCGCTCCCGTTGCTTGGTCCCAGCGCCTGCCAACCTAGCAGTTCGAAAGCACCCCGGGTGCAAGTAGATAAATAGGGACCGCTTACTAGCGGGAAGGTAAACAAAGTTTCCGTGTGCTGCGCTGGCTCGCCAGATGCAGCTTGTCACGCCGGCCACGTGACCCGGAAGTGTCTGCGGACAGCGCTGGCCCCCAGCCTCTTAAGTGAGATGGGCGCACAACCCTAGAGTCGAACACGACTGGCCCGTATGGGCAGGGGTACCTTTACCTTAATTAGGTAGAATACAGGCTAATTATGTTTGATTTTGCACCAAAAGTTTAGTTCTGTAGAAAAGCCTGGACTGTTAACTTTCTATGCTGTTTCATTGTCGTATAGAACTTGATTTCATAGTTCTCTTTGGCATGCCAACTACCAGCCAGATGGGTGGGGTATAAATAATAAAATTATTATTATTATTACATTTGGTATTTGCTGTTGCAATTATGCAGAAGCTGATCAAATGCAAACTCGAGCTTTAATCCACTGTTGTAATAGTAGTTTGGTTTTTTTTTTTAGCATTGGGCGGTGTCTGTGTGTGCCTACTGGTTCCATGTGACTGTCTCAGTTTGTGGTAACCATGTGTAGCGAAAGTGCACATAGCAGGGGCTTGTAAATTTTCATGGCACCTGTTAGCCTTTTCTGTTAACTGCCACATCCCCTTTTGTAATTTATTGCAATAAAATTGTATATCTGTTTGCATCTAGCTATTGGGAGCCACTTCACTCAAGGCTATCTTCCTGCAGGAAAAATAGAGGGTAGATGATAATTTGGGACACATACAAGTTACATTTGTGTAGGAAAGTTTTACAAAGTGACCTCCGGTTATCGTTGATACTGCCTATGCTGTTTTCCTTTTAACTGCATGATCTAAAATTGAACCAGCACACTGCTTGGAATGCACCATGATCTTAGTTAACATTCATTTTTTCACTGATAGGTAGCAAGTAAAAGCTAGTACAAATTGGGAAAAATGACATTTATTACTATGCTGCTGTAGTTCACGTAACACAAAATGCACTCGTCCCAGAATATTCCTACAATAAACAAACACTTTGTCTTGGAGAGTGGCGGTCATTCTCTAGAGTTATAGATATTTGATCTGTGTGGTTTCTCCCCCTCCCCCCATTTCAAAACAGATACTGTGACTTTTCGTTTGTGAACAGTTGAGAATAGCAGTGAACATATGGAGTTCTACATTTGGTATTTGCAGCTCATTAAGAGCTTCCACTGAAAATTTATCTTGAAAAAAGGTCTTGCATTGTGCTCTCAATCTTTAAATGAATATGTTTATCTTGTGGCTTCAATTGCTCAGAGAATATTGCTTTGAAAAAAAACAACAAAAAACAAGATTGCCAAGAAGCCAGGCAACACTTTTCAGTCTTTATTACACGCCATTATTTTACTGTGTAAGTGTGTAGGTTTGACTTCTTGTTGCTTTCCCACTCTTTCTATGTAGTTTCAGAAAAAACACTTCTCTTAAGCAGATCTCCTCAGTGTAAAATTTCTTAAATTCAGTGGCCAGCTTAATTTCAATGTGTGTGAACCTTTGGATATACAGAAGGGATATTTTAGCTACACTGCATCATTTTGATGTTTGCTTAAATGTTTGTCACTTTCACACACTTGTGGTGGGGGTAATTTTCTAAAACCTTCCTGCTCATTCTGCATGGTACTGTGGGGTCTGCCATTGTGGAGACCATAGAACAGCTTAGCAAGTTCTTGAAAGCTGCTTGCGCAAGGGCTATGTGTGTGCTATAATAATAATAATAATTTATTATTTGTACCCCAGCCACACTAATGTGCTACAATTTAATGAGATGCATGTAAGAAATTGTATTAGGGATGCTTTCCTCATTGCAGTGTTTTGTTTTTTTTAAGTATTCATCATTTTATAACATCTATTTTTAAATATCTTTTTTGGATTGCCCTCTCTGATGGTACTTGAAAATGAACCCATGCAGCACAAGCCATAGGTGCCATTGAGAAAACGAGATTCAGTGACAGCTTAGAATTTACAAAGCATGAACAACTTAGGTCCAAGGTACCTTGGAGACCACCTAAACCTTTATATCCCAGCTCCAGAGCGTCTGCAGCAGTGTCGTTGGTTGTTCCCCAAGTTGGTGGTGCTCATTTGACATCAACATGAAATAGAGGATTTAGTGTCCCCATTCCAGCTCTGTAGAATTCTCTGCCAGTAGAAATTCATCAGGCTCCTTCAATTTCACCCTTTAAACTTCTGCTGAAAACTATTCTGTTCTGCCAGGCTTATGCAGGCAATTAAGAATACATCTTTCCATAATACGTAGTTGATTGTGTCAGATTTCAAATTTTGTATGTGTTTTTATAATATGTGTACATAACTGTGAAGCAGTTTGCTATTTTTTATGCTATAGTGCAGGGATGTCCAACATGTTGATTGCGATCTACTGGTCGATCCCTGTGAGGTTTTGGTAGATCGCGGTCGATCACTGGCCCCCTTCTGGCCCCGCCCCCTCTCCTTGCGCCGGCCTCTATTGTTACAGAAGGGAAGTCGGAGTTTAGAAATGGAGGTTGTTATCTGGCCAGCGATGGTAAGATTAGTGGCTGCTTCTGTTCCTCCCTCCCTCAGAAGAGCTGCAAAAAAAGTCCCCAAAAAAGCTCAACAATTTTGAGGGTAGATCACTGCCAGATTTTAATTTTGAAAGTATATCGCAATCTCTCCAGAGTTGGCCACCCCTGCTATAGTGATATATACTTATTTTTTATTAAATAAATAATTTGTCTTTTAGATTGTCTGGGGAATATTTTTTATCCTGGTGGCCCTGCTGTTTGTTATTTCACTCTTCTTGTCCAAGTAAGTTTATAGTGTGCTTTCTATATTTAAAAATGAGGCTGTGTGAAATTATATTACTTGCAAAGTGGAATTCACGCTAACCTTTCATGTGAATATGTTTCTCGTTTACCACCCCAAAATTGAGAGTGGGTATGAATCCAGTGGTTTAAATACAGAAGTGAACACAGTTTATTAAATATTACATCTCTCTTTCGAATTTTCCCTTATTGCAATGTGTTTCGCTCAAAGCAAGCACTTGCTGCATTGCATCTTTTAGTTCTTGATGATCAGCATATACACTGAAGTAAAATATTGTGCAAAACTTGCTCGAACTGATCTTGAAAAACTAAAAGAAAAGAAGAATGCCTGTATACACTCTTAACTGAATAAAGATTTCTAGGGAACCATTCCTGATTTGCTTGCAATATGGAGATATTCAGGTAGTGAATATGTATAGGTAGGCAGCTGTTACCTATGAAAAGGTGACCTAGAATTTGCAGCAAATTCAGTTTTTAAAACAGATGTCAGTGGCATAATGTGCATAATTCTGCCTTGTCAAAAAATATATGGGCTGCTAGTCGATGTGTGTGGGCTGGAATGGTTAATATGCTGCGACTAGATTTGAGCCTATGAAAAGAAGTCAGGGGGGCTATGAAATGGAAAAAAAATATTGTCTAAACTCACTCCTAGTTTATGGGTTCCTCAAAAGATACTTCCCCTGTGATTCTCCACACTAATAATGAATTGAGGTCTTGGGGCGGTGGTTGAAAGAATGGAAAGGGTCCTGGCAAAATGTCCAGAATTAATTTCAAAGCAATGTTTGTTCGTGGAGGCAGCCTACAGTTATGTGCACATTAGCTAGAACTTCTTTACTTTGAATCTTCACCCCGATACAACTCAAGAAATGAAACAGGATTATTTCAGGTTGGTCTGGTAATATGAGTAAGTGTTGCAGAATGAATTATGACACTAAAGTTCGGACAAAGTATAGGCAGCTCCCCGTTGGCATGCGTTTGGCATGCCCTCGACCACTAGCATGCACAACCTTTGCAGTCCCGGAAGTGAGTGGGGTGGGGACAAGGGCAGAACAGGGTGGGGTGGGCTTACACGGTCCACTGACGTGTGCGGTGCCTCAGAACACAACCCCCGTGCAAACAAGGGAGTTTCCTGTACTCTGTATGTAGGGCTGGTGTTTTCAAAAATCAAGAAATAATCTCTTTTTTTGAAATTGCAACAGTTTGGATAAAGCACTGCACTCAGCTGGCATCGACACTGGATTTATAATCCTGGGAACAAATTTGACCAATCCATTGAATATGCTGTTACCCATTCTACAAACTGTGAGTAAAAGATAATGGAAGCTTGTAACGCCAATGGTAACTCTTCAGTGAATTCTCCAGTGAAACAAGGTTATTGTTTAAACAGAGGCAAATACGTTCCTACAGGCCATGGTTAATTTTGGCATTACATATGAATTAGACCTTTGGGGTTTTGGTATGGGTATATTACTGGAATTGCCACTGGGCACATTTTGAATTTTGAGAGACTGCTGAGGATGCCAGTGAGAAAATGGCTGCCACAGAGGCATAACTCAAAATTTGAGGCGGATACCCCCACCAGCAAGTGAACATTCCTCTGTACCATAATAATGCTCATTTCACATAAATTACTTTGAAGGTGCCTGCACGTTTGCTTCATAACTTTGCTCCCAGGATGATTAGACTTTTTTTTTTGTATAATGCAAGCATAGTGTCTCAGGTACCAGTGAAAGTCTTAACCCCTGGTGTATTAGATGTAATCTTGGGGCAAAATTAAGTTAGCCCTGGTATGCCCCCCCCCCCCCGATCTGTCATTTTATTATGGCAGGGATTGTGTTTTAAACTGGAAGAGTTTCATGAAATTTAAACTCTAATTTATTTTTTGTCTTCTAGGTCTTCCCCCTTGATTATATCCTCATCACTACTATCATCATGTACTTTATATTCACCTCAATGGCAGGAATTCGAAACATGGGAATATGGTTCTTCTGGATAAGGGTAAATATAGAGAGATTTATTTATTACAGTTGTATCCTACCCTTCTTTCAATAAACTTGGTGTGTTGCAGAAGTGCTGCCACATTGTGTATATACATATACAATAGAGACATTATATGGAGAATGTAAAGAACTACAGGCAATGCCCATTTTGTACATGTTCAAACATGCAAAAATGTGCATGCGTGCATTGCCGGAATCCGGAAGTGGTTGGGAAAGGGGGCAGGGTAGGCTTACACGTGCTACGTGGGGGGAGGGGGGGAGGAATGCAACCCCTACACAAATTGGGGTTCCCTGTATGTATAATGTTTAATGTGTACAGTGTTTAAAACCAAATCTTACAAATACATCTCCTCTCTCTCTGCATGCCCCATATACTCTCCCCAAATTAGCTCTGGAAGAGTGAGAGAAACCCCAGAACACATTTAGGGGATGAGCAGGGAAAAGAGAGGGAGAGAAGGCCCCATTGTGGACAGAACTACTTCATTGGATATTGCTCATTATATTCTTCCTTGTTGTGGATCTGATACAGAAAATTGTATTTTAACAGTTGATTGCCTTATTATGCTGTTAATCTTCTTGAGTGCCTCAGCCCAAACGCTCACTACCTGCAGGCACTTCAACATGTTTAATTCTATTAAACATATACTTCATCTTAAACAAGGCATTTTTTAAAAAAGAGAGGCTCGCTATAAAAGGAACTTGTAAAATCTAGTAATATGATTTTTAATTTTAAAAAATGCCCAGTTTGAAAGTGATTTGCTCTGTGCAAAAATATAAGATAAAATAAGGGTCTATATATAGATTGCTCTATTGTAGGCTTCCTGCTCCAGCATTGCAGTCACCAGCTCATATTCCTTCAGGGCCTCTCTGATTTTGATGCCCTAGCCTCATTTCCGCCCAGAGAGCTATTAGCACCATGCTGTTTCATTTTGATTGAAGCTCTGTGCCCACCTTAAGTCTGTAGAATGTGCTATTCTAATTCTGCTGGTGAAATGGACTAATGGGGAAATTTTGTTATATGGCAAGTCTCCTAATTCATACTTTAAGGCTGCAGTCATACACTGACTTACCTGGGAGTAAGTGCTGTCAAATTGAATGTGGCTTATTTTTGAGTATACATCTATAGAATTGCAGTGCAAGACCCCTTTCTACCACAACACTCCATGGTTGGGAAAGGATTGTGGTGTCCATTGCTAAGGCATTTGAGTGGGCTTGGCTAATGACATGTAAAAATTGTGTTTGCTCTTACAGTCCTACCACCCTTGTCCTCACAGTTCTCTTGCTCTACTGCAGATGACTTCCATCAGTTTTCCCTTGCTGCGCTTTTGTCTTGAACTCCCTCCCAAAACACCTGTGTGGAATTGTCCCTCTTCCCTCCCCACTTTCAATCATCTCTTGTAAAAATAAATAAAAGTGAGAAGTATTTGATGTAACTAGCCCCTTGATAGATTCCCCATCCACAATAACTTGAACTTTAGGTACTAGCATTTGCTTTCATTCCTCCCTTGCCATAGTTTTCTCTTGCCTCTCATCATTCTTTCTTTCCCCTGTTTCTCTCTACTTGGCTGTTTTTAGATCGTAAACAGCAGTTGTTTAAACAATTTGACATTCCTTAAACTCCTCTACCCACTACAGTGTCAGCTGTAGTATTATTATTATTTCTTATGGTACAGCATTTGCTTTCTATGTTAAGGATCCCAAATTCAATTTGTGGCATCTTCAATTTTTTAAAAATGAAAAAAATTAGATAGGTAATGGAAAACGGAAAGGCCTTTGTTCCTGAGTCCTTGGAAAGCCATTGCTCGTCAGAATAGGCCACACTAGGTTAGATGGACCAATAGCCTTAACACAGTGTAAAGGCAGCTTCCTCTGTTCTCCTGTTACACTACATAAAAAAGTAGGAATGATCATGATTAGTACAAGCTGAATGTGAAGCACCAAGTATCAAGAAAATTAGTATCAAGAAAATTAGTACTTCAGTAATAGAAATCCTGTTCTTAAAAAGTTTTGTAAGCTCTTTAAGTCTCGGAAAGGTGTCACAGAAATATTTTAAAATAAAAGACGAGGTCTGCCCAAGGCATAATGTTGGTGGAATTCATATTAATATTTTTGCTTTTAGCTGTACAAGATCAGACGGGGGAGGACAAGGCCACAGGCGCTTCTCTTTCTCTGCATGATACTGCTGTTGATTGTTCTTCACACCAGCTACATGATATACAGCTTGGCACCTCAGTATGTTATGTATGGAAGCCAAAAGTACCAATCTCTGGTAAGAATTGTTGTGTGTTGGGGGAAATGAGGTACATTTTGAAGTGGGAATAATACAGTGTTTTAGTAGGTCTTATATTCAGTCTATAGAAGAACTTACTTTCTCCCAAGCCCACATTCCCATCATGTTCACACTTCTATCTCAGTGACGTCCACACTGGCTTGGTCATGTATACAGAATGGAAGAAGGCAGGACTCCCAGGGATCCCTGCACTCTTCCACTGCGTCCTGAGATAGACGGATGACAGCAACAATATTTTCACTGGTTAAAAAAAGTGATGCCAAAACACAAAGGACACATGCTGGAAGCTTGGGCTGAGTCTGGAACAGATTGAAGGAGCCATGGAACTGCTTCAGCACAGATCAAGCTCACAGCATCATTCAACTGGCTTCTAGCAGCACAGTTAATTGAGTTGAGCTGGGGCCATACTGAAGCTATGCCATGACAACTATGTATTGGACATTGCACGGTAGTAGTGTATATTATTTGCTTGTTTTATTTTAATTGGTTTCTGTAGTAAAGCAACTCACATTCTGTTCCAATAAATGCTGTGGCCTGAGCCACAATATATTTATCTCTTTCCCAATCTGTTAGTCTCCAGATGGTGTTAGACTTCAACTCCCATCATCCCTGACCATTGACCGTGATAGTTGGGGCTGATGGGGATCTGTAGACCTAAACATCTGGTGGTCACCAGGTTGGGCAAGTCTGGAATACTACTTTTGCAATAATTTTGCATAGTTTGTTCTTTTTCTATACACAGCATGTTTTGCTGCTAACACTGGTAGTTGTATTCATCAATCTAGTCAGTTGCAATTTCACAAGGTTTTGCCCGTGCACTTTCAAGAGTATCTTTGCAATCATAAGGGCTAGGAACTTGCAGTATTTGCTTTTGTTTAGCTTCAGCAACATAATACGGCGTTCTGCTCTTGAATGGAACTGTGGCATTCACACAGCTCTCTTTTGCCCTGGTCTAAAATATATTAGCATTCCAGGGACAGTAAGAATCCTGATTAGTTAATTAAAGCAGATACTTGTCTTGATTGACAGGACAGTTGATTTTAGAAATGTTTGGTTATTTTAAGTTGGCATTTTATATTAATGTTGTCTTTTTGTTGCTTTACGGGCACTCTCTTTGGACAGACCTTGCCTGAAATTGTGTGATGATTCTTGTGTTTCTGTCTTAATTAATAAATAGCTTACAGATTGCTTTACAAAACTTTTAATAACATTAACAATTTGAAATTTAGTTGTGGTTCTTCTGATAGTAAATGAAACCCAAATACCTCATTCACAAGCAAAACTAAGGAAAGAATTATTGTAGCCTGTTGTGCCAAAACAAAATAAATCATGTATCTGTAGTATTCATATTATAACTGTTTAATGAAATAATCTTCTCTCCACACAGAGTAATATGACAGTGGATGGACACTTGACAAATGTGACAACGTGGGTGCCTAAAGTTTGTGATGCAGATGCCCCTGCAAGTAAGACAACTTTGGATTCTACTCCAACACATTGTTAAAGTACCTTAAATATACTTCTATCAGAACCACTGAAATTTAACTTAGCAACATTGAATACCTATTTGAAGGTCTTCCACAGACTTTAATGTACTGTATTTTTCTGTCTACAAGACAATGTTTCCTCCCCATTTTTAAAGTCAAAAATTGGAGGTTGTCTTATACATGGATTTATACGGTAAGTCTTGGGTGAGCTGGCAGCTCCTGAGTCAGTGAGTGCCAAGAAGCTGGCTGGAGAGGCGAGGTGGTACCAAGGTGAGGAGGGAGCTCAGCCATCATGACTTAGTAGCCTTTGATAGTCCTGGGCACCATACAGTTGTCTAAACACATTTTAATTGTTCTCCTGTATTGGGGATGGCGAACCTTTGACCCTCAAGCTCCAGCCACCATGGTCAACCATTTGGGATTGTGAGAGCTGAAGTTTAGTAATACCTGAAGGACCACAGTTTCATTACTGTTCCATATGCTTGATAATTTTATCTTTAATAGTGCTTTCCACTAGTTTGAGACATTCAGTTAACTTGCGTGAAATTTCATGCACCCCCATGCTACTTTGGCTGCTCTCTAGTCCTCTGGTACTAAGGCTGATCTTGAGGACAAATTGATATTTGTTGTTGAAAAATCAGCAATTTCATTTTGGAGTTCTTGAGATGTTTTAGGTGGACCCCATTCTTTTTTTCTATATGAGGCATTGCAATGAATTGGTGGCTTTCCTTTCTAAGCTGAATCTTTGACCAGCTAAGTTTCTAAAAGCCATGTTTTTATTCAAATGAGTGAAAAAGTGATGAGAACTATTTCATCTATGCACTGCATTTCTGGTTTCTTACTCATTCTACCTGCTGGGCAGCCGCAGTATGCTCTTTTAATCTGGTCCCGCCCCTTATCACCTTCCACTCCAGTTCGCTTCTGCTCTGAAGTGTATTTTCTTTAAACATTAGCAGAACTTGAAGACTAAAAAATATGGAATAATGACTCTTTGGCATCTTTATCCTTAGCTAACAATCTGTAAAATTAATTGCTAAAATTAGACACTTAACACTTGCATATTTTTTTCAAATGATTTTTATTGAATTTGACAGAGCAGCTATCCCAAGTACAGACAGAAAGCAAAAAAAAAAAAAAGATAATCTCCCACCGCACAATAAAATCCCCTAACACTGGTATATTTATGACATAGAAGAACTTGTGCTTCTACCAGAAATATGTGTTGTCAGTTTCAGAGTCATTCAATAATAAATTGCAAATTGATAGTTTTCTCTCCTTTTTGCTCTCAGACTCTTTTGTTAGTCAGTGGATGAAAGATGGAAAAGAAGACATTTAAGCTGGGCCTCTCTCCTGAAGTTTTGGGAAATTATAGGTTAAAGAACATCCATTTCTCTGTTTAAAGATTAGTAGACTTTGATCCACAGTATCTGAGAATTGCAGCTAACAAATCCTTTATACCTTAATACACTTCACATTATGGAATCTTCATACATTAACTGTTTCTGCATTTAGGAGAGCATTTATCTTTGCTCATTTTAATGTACTGCCTTTTGCACTGTTAAGTTGGCAATTCAACATGATCCTGGTTAATGAACAGTTTTGTTTTTGTGGAGCTGGAGCAATAGATTCTGTTGATCATATTCCTCTGCACTGTAACTTATATAGTGAGTGTATATAGTACAGTTTATGAAGAACTCTTCCAGGAAAATCTCCCAAAGAGCCTGTATTGTTCTGCTTAAGGGATGCTTACTTTTGTATTGCTGGTAGGGTTGCAAAAACTTTTCTCATTCAGTGCCGATCAGGAGAAATTTACTGCTAGCTGCTGCTGCTGCTTCTTCAGAGAGAGAAGTATATTTATATGCATCTGTTTTTACAAGCTGTATTTTTAATTTGTGTACTTAATTTTCTTGGTGTGTGTGACCATAATAAACAATTCAGTTCAGGACGTGAGTTGTATTGCATAATGCCTGGCAAATATTATTGCCGCTCTAGAGAAGTAACAAAGACATTGCAAGTGTAGAGCTAAGGTACTGAACGAGTGTCATGTTTCATTATGATATTTCATGAAGGTCAAACAGGTCCAAAATTTCTACTATAATTTGTTTAGTCAGATTACTGTAGAGAGCCATCTGTAGGTCTGTTTGTTACTCTTTAATTCAGGTGAGCAGCTGGAGGGGTTGCAGATGGTGCTAAAAATGTGCTGTCCTGATCTACTAATTAAATGTTTTATTTCCTTTTCTCACATTGGCCATAGTGGCTGACAACGTAGGAAACCTTTTTCACAGACCAGTTAGATCTATGCCTATATTTTGGTTTTGTCTTTTCTAGATTTCTTTTATTTTTAAAATCACTTGTCTTTCACCTTTCAACTCTCAAAATGGCTCTCAGTTTGTCTTGCAAACCAAATAATACAATACAATACAATATACACAATAAACAATACGATACAATAGGAAAGAAATGGGGAGCATTACAAAATAGAGCAAAACCAAACCTATTTTGCAGGCAAGAATCTAATGCTGCTCAAAGGCCTGGCAGAACAAAAAGGTTTAACTGCTCACCTAAATCTCTCTCATATACACACAAATACATACACACATGTATGCCAACTGAACATCCCTTGGGCTGGAATTCCACAACCAGGGTGCTGCAACCAAGAAGGCCTGGTCAGTTTACTATGTTAGTCATCCCTCAAAAATTCTGTAGCGAGAACGTTTGGGTATTATTTTTATGCTTGCATTTGATGAAATAGTTGTGAGATGTTCATGAAAGGACCACTATGCCAGAAATCTTTGATGAGGCTCCGGTTACCACAAAGATACTGAAAGTATCCTGGGAAATGGAGTAATGAGGTCTTGTGGGGCTAGCTGGATTAGGAGCCCAGCACGTTCATTGACCAGACACAAAAAAATTGCAGATCTCCCTCTTCACTTGAGGGTGGGGAATGACAGCATAAGGCTAGCTGACACAACTGCCGAGTGTAAGGTGTTTAAAATTCACTCTGTTATGGAAATTTGCAATTCAGGAGAACTTGATTCTCCCTAATATGAATGGGCACTTGTTCTAAGTAGCATTGCCAAGAATAGGAGTTAGTGAACTGCTTGGGGATACCCAATCTGTTCTCTAGAACTAATTGCAGCGTTGAATTAGATCTAATTGGGAAAATGTCCACTTTGTAGTGATTGCTACACTAAATCACTCTTCTGCCTAATACTGCTCGTTACATAGAAATCATTGGAAAGCTTGAAATGTTTTGAATAACATACTATATGTGAATGGTATTAGTCTTGCAGTCTAAGATCTGTGTTGGAGAAATACCAGTCTTTCTTACATTAAGCCTTCTGTTAAGAGCCTCACTTTTCTGTGGTGTGTTTCAGTATGTGAAAAGTAAGTGACAGCTCATCTAGAACAGTCTTTTTCAGCATGTTTCCACCATGTATTAATGAAATTGTGCTGTGCCATATCTTTCTGACTTAGCTCCTATATATGAACTTCTCATTTCAGGACAGTACTGTAACTCCTAAATGCTGTTTTGAATGTTGCCTATCTGGTATTCTACATCTGATTTTAAAATACGCTTCTGAAAGAAGAGACCCTAACAACATTCAGGCATGGTTCATACCAATGTAAAGCATTCCGTATTCCTTGCGAAAGCCTCCTTAACAGATTTCTTTTCTGGATTCGTCTTCTTTCACTGAGACTTCAAAGCCAGATGTGTCAAACGATCATTCCTACATATTTGCTCCTGTAGTTCAAAGTCATCAAGTCTCCAGAGAAACTTTTTCTGGAAAACACATCCCCACCTTCCTCTGTAGATATTGCTGGGATTCCTGGCTTGGTAGACATAGGGTTTTGCTCTCCACTGCGTCAGCATAGTCTGAGAAGCACATCTGTACTTTGACCTAGTTTCACAGAATCTTCTTCAACAGCAGTTCAGGTTGTCTTATTATAAGTCCTCTTCTTGTTCAGGTCTACTAAATAGTACTTTGCAAAATATCCTAGTAGTAAATATGTTGTGGTGAGTTTAAGGGAAACCTCTGCAATGTTGAGATGCAAACTAGGCAAAAACGAGAAATAAATTCTCAAGTTAATTTTTTCTTGTTTTCCATGACAAATCCTGCTCTCTTACTCCCCCCCCCCATCTGCACCCATTATGACCTTGAACATTGCCCAACAGCTTTGGAAACCAGTTTGGGTGCATATTAGTTTAATACAAACCATGTTGGAGTAATGCTGAAGGATAGTTAACGTAGAAGACAGGTAGTCAATGTGATGCCTTCCAGATATGGAAGGCTCTATCAGACTCTAGGCTCCATCAGCTCCAGCCAGCATGCCTAATGATCGGAGATGGAGGAAGTTGTAGCTTTACAATAGCTTGGGGTCTGAAATCATGTTGGTGTGTTAAAAATGGGAGCCCCCACAAGATCATTTATAGCGCAGTTTGTTATTTTTCTTCCCATATAATGGCTTAATTGGGAACAAGTGTGTATGTGTAAACTTCCTTTGAAAGCCATTGTAAGAAAATATGCATATCTTTAATTTGTAAGTAAAGGAAGGAAGCAGAAGAAAGTAGAACACTTGGTAGATGTCACTTGGTTCTGCTGATTGTACCCTTTAATTTAGGAAGGTAGTAGAGATGAGCGCCGCAACCCCAGAGTCGGTCACAACTGGACCTAATGATCAGGGGTCCCTTTACCTTTTTTAAAAACCAAATCTTGCTTGTGAGATGTAGCTGGGCCTTATTGTAATCTCCTAGCAATGTCCAATAAAAAAAATCCAGAACACTTTTCATAGGAAGGGGCGAGTTTTATTCAATTTTCATATTCACTTCAAATACAAGAGTGCAAGAGTCCATATGAGGTTTTGAAAAATGTAAATGCATTCTAAGATTTTGATCAAACAAAACTGTCTGTATTGGTATAAAATAAGAACATTGATTTCTTCTTTGAAATAAAAAAAATGTCTTAGTACTTAATAAATTTATGTGATAGTGGTACCTTCAATTTTAAAGTAACTGTCTTTTATTTTTAAGAGAACCCATGCATGTTTTAGCAGTTGTGACTTTTTAAAGCAGTGTATTCCCTAAAATTAATAACATTTTTTTGCCACACACTTTTAAGTTTTGTTCTTTTCTTTTCTTCCAGATGAATGCACTGTTACTCGGACTTACCTGTTCCTTCACCAGTTTTGGTTCTTCAGTGCTGCATATTACTTTGGCAATTGGGCGTTCATTGCAGTAAGTAAACTTATTTGTAGGTCATTATAAATCCAACTGAACCTTTTAACATAATTGCAATTATCATATCATTTGATACACAGCAATGTTGCCTGACTCTAAATCTGTTACTCCCTTGAACTGATCACCAATAATGCATTATACTGATTTAAATTCACAGGTTTTCTTAATTGGATTAATTGTGTCATGCTGCAAAGGGAAAAAATCTGTTATTGAAGGTGAAGTGGATGAAGATGATTCAGATATAAGTGATGACGAGCCATCCCTCTATTATGGTTGACAGCCCATAAGTTCTGAAGGTTAAAGCATGCAATTTAAAACTGTGAAAATGCCACCATTGGACTTTACTCTCGGAAAAGTTCACATATTTGCCAATGTGGAAAATGAAATCTTTAAGTATACTATTGTATTATAGTTAAGCTAATATGTACATATATAGTCACAAAGGAGCTAATTTTATGAAGGAATGATTAAACAGTACTATAATTTTTTTCCAATATGCACTCTGCGGTCATTATGTTAGTTGCCTTTTTGCTGGTCTTGAGCTTTAAATTACTTTATGCCTGATTCAATTTGACAGTGCTGAAAAGTTAATATAATCAAATTGATAAATGCTTCTTACAGGAAAGCCAAGTTTAAAGTGCAGTGTTTTTTGATTGTACAATTAATATTTAGAACACACTAAATATTTTACATAACAGCAGCTGTAATCATCATTGTCAAATGTTGGGTTATTGCTGATTTCAGTGAGAGGCCAAATAATAATAATAAAAACAGGATGTAGTGAGATGGGGAGCAGCACCTGGGCTTCCATTTCCCTCCTTTGTCTCCTGCAGAATTATCTAGTAGAATACAAGTGCCCTGGGAGAGCCTCGTCTTATTAAAACATTGGTTTTTCTGTAACCCAGTTATGAAGAATGGGATTGTAACAGGGTTAACGAAATTCCACATTCAAATGAATGTGGGATCTCCAGGTTTAGCTCTTACTATGCACAGTGATACAGACAGGTGAGAGAGGATCAATGTTTCTCTCAATCTTGCTATTCATGGCAGGGGTGGGCTGGAGACAGCAGTATTATCTTGATGAATATATCCAGATGTTTCTCTGTAAAAGCGGAGAGAGGCAAAACTTTATTCTTTCTCCATGGTCTAAACTTAACAGTATATGAATTTTAAAATAAGTTGAAAAATTAAACACCTAAGTTAGTTACTATTATTTGCTATGCCCTAACTTAAATATTTTGATGTAGTTTTTTAATTAATAACTGTTGAAATTTGTATCCCTTGCCATTTTGTTCAGTTATACCTAAATGCAATGCATAAACATTTAAAATCATGCAAAGACTTTTTCCTGTATCATTTTGTAAAATAAACTAATCGGGATCTTACTGACATGTATCTTTTCCATATTTTTGTAACCTAAACGTTATTACAAAATAAGTAATCTTTACTGTTCCTTGACTTAGCTGCCATTCATTAAATGATTGCAGTTAAACAAGCCAAATATTTGTGAATTAGTTTTCCTGGCTGCAGCACTTTTCTATATTGGCTCAGTGAATATTTTGTGAAATATTTAATGCTGATCATTGTTTCAATATTTGACATTAAGATGTTTTGGTTTAACCCCGGTTAGTACTTATATTGCCAGTTAATAGAAGTGTTGTTTTCTGTTCTCAAAACAGTGGCTTACAAGAAAGCAAAATGCTGAGTTTAGCATGCTTTTGGAGAAATCACAGCCTCTTTAATTTTCTGTCTTATCACAGTATAGTAAAGCAGTTTTTTCTATGCTGCTTTGCTTTCTATAACCGGATTTATCTCCCTTTGGCCACAGCCAGCATAGCCAGTGATCAGGTATAATGGGAGTTGGGGTACAGTGACAATTGGGAGGGCTTCATGTTTTGCCTATCAATGAGTTTTTAAAGAAGTTTAATTCATAGGCATCTCAAGTATGCAGGGGTCTGTATAAGCTGTTGCATGCAGAATGACCCATTTACTTCAGGAGAAAACTTTCTTTTTTTGGTCTTTCCATTGAAAAGAACAGGAGGTATATTGTGCTTCAAAGTCTCTCTGCTTTACACACTTTTGGTATCTCTCTAATGAACTTGGAGGTAGTCTAAAAATACCTGTGCTTCTCTCTCCATGACTGACACTCAGTTTCCTAGGTTCTTCTTACCTGTATAAAGCTTAAATGACATTTATCTGAGCTATGCTCACAATTCCAAATGGGTCCATATTTTTCTCTTTCACTTTGCTGCTACAAAACACTGGTTTTGTTGCATAGTTGCAACTGCAGAGTCCACCACCACTTCCTCAATCTCCCAATATATCCTTCAGATTTTTTTTAGAACAGTGGCTTTCTTCTTTGAGAGCCAAAGATAATATGTGAAACAGCCTTTAATTCTTTTTATTGTTTGCTTGCTTGGTTCTAAGGCTTCATCATTCATTGGCTTTCTAATGTTTTTGCATCTTACAGCAGCATCACCCTGAATTTCTTTGTGTGTGTGTTCCTACCCTATATTTCAGTTAATATGTACCTTCAAAAGATGCTAGTGCCTTCCATATGCATTTTTTTTCTTATCAAAATTTGATAGGGACAAAGTTAGCCAATACAATACCTGCTGAAACAAAATCATTAAGAACAACTTGTAGGGTTTTGTTCAAAGAACAAATTCCAAGATTCTATTTCAAAGAATAAGCTTTGGGAAGTCTTCTGGCTTCATTTAATGTTTGTTGTCATAGAAAATAACTTGACTGGAAGCCACCCACCAACTCTGTGAAAGGGTCATATATCTTGTGTGTCTTTTTGAAATAAGGTGATTCCATGAGAGACTCATTTCGTGATGTCTGTTTAAACTTGGTTCCATGATTCTGTACAAACAGTAAGAGTACAGTCTTTTTATTCCTTGGAGTCTCCACAATTTTTTCAGGTAATGCATAACTGTGACTTAAGGCGCTGAGAGAATGAAGTGGGAAAGGAAGTTCTGTTGCCCAAGCACAAATCCTTGTGCTAACATAACTAGTTTGTTGGATCTCTCCCGTAGCCTTTCCTGTCCCTTGCTCCCCACTTTTAAGAGTGAGAGGGAAGAAGAAGAAAAAACAAATACTTGATGTGCCATGAACAGTCATGGAAAGCAACCCACGCTTTAGCTTGGAATTAGTGAAGGGCTGTGCTAGTCTCAAGCCACGGGTGTGACAATTAGGGTTCCTTTTGACTGGACCAAACACTCTTGGGGTGGGGGAAGTAACCTGCATGGCTCATAGCAGGATATTTGCAGAATAATCAAGCAATGCCTGCTCCTATGTTGCTTGTGTACTCTACATATTTCATTAGCACTGACCAGATGCACAGAAGCTTTTAAATTTTCTTTGACTGGCAGAGTAGTCATGGAAGGTACATGTAAAGGAATGTTGGCAGGCACATGTAAATGAATCTCAGAACCTGCCTGGTGCAATATTAATGTGCATGAACTCTGCTGTTGAAAAGTAAGGAAATGTAGCTTTTCCAGACGACTAGAGTAGAACAAACTTTGCCTCCTCATTTTAAAACGCATAACCTTATTATGTTTGCCTGAGTGGCTTTTGAGATCACAGTGCGGGAAATAATGAACCACAAACAAGTAGGTTGGCTTTTAGTATTAAGAAGCAGCCATTAGTGCAATAACAAGTGAGGCTTCTCTAAAAGGCTTGGCAAGAGGATTAAAACAAGTAACAGTTGTATTATTTCTGACTGGCATAGCTGCTGTCTTTACAGGAAAAAGGAACAAAGCCATATTGGGTATAATGACTGATGAATGACAAGCACAACAAAAATAAATTAAAACACGGAAAAAAATAACACTCAGGGGAAGACCCCCTCCTATCCGTTATAGTGACACAAAATCATTAATGGGAATAATCTGATGTAGTGCAAGCATTTTCTAGAAACTGAGTGAGGAGTTCAGCTAAAAAGAGATGTGATTATTTTTTAAAAAATCACTAGGATGAATTCTTGGTACCTTCTATGGAAAAAATCAAATGAATGGGGCTGTAGTTGCTGCAGCAAAGTGTATGGTGAAATGTGAATGCACTGGTTTATATCTAGAATTGTGCTCAGCAAATGGAACATCCTTGGGTCTCTGCTCCCCTATGGCCCAAAAATTTTGTTCCAAGGGAATGGGGGCGCTTTGCCAAAGGAATATGGAGCATGGCGTGGGAGGGGGGCCCTACTACAGCAAGGAAGAGAAATCAGCAAAACCCTTCCACCCTCCTCTGCTTCCAAGTCCCGTGGAAGGAGGTTCCCCACTCATAGAAGGGCACCGCCTGATCCAACTCACTCAGTAATGGCTGCTGCTTGGGCAGGGCCACCATGTCCACCTTGGTATTGCTACAGATTACTCAAATGGCATTGGGAAAGGGTGGCAGTGAGGGGTGTAGCCTTACTCTTTGAACTTGATACTTGGAAGGTATGGTCAAGGAGGCGATTCTGGTTGTTCATGGGTTACTCTCCTGTGTCTTGTGAGCGTTTTCAAAGATGCAGAGAGTCCAAGCCTTTTTAAAGCAGGAGAGGAATGGGAAGTCAATGCAGGCACCAAAGAGTCAATGCAACAGGATCTTGGCAACCCATATTTAATGTAATGTGTGCTGCCATGTTCTGTAGCTCCTGAAGCTTCTGGGCCATCACTAAGGGTGGTCCCAGAAGACCCCAGTGGGTAGGCTCAAGGCAAGGAAGGCATTCATCAGGCTCTCCCCGGAACTTGTTTAGAAGGTTTGTGGTCTTCCAAAACATAGGAGTTGGTAGGAGAGAGTGGAGTCCATGCCAGTCCTGTAGCCTGGAGTTCCAAGCACAGCTGCATAGCCAAGGCTATTTACAGCTACAGTTTTGAGATAATGGACACTTTGTATTCCAGTCTATTCCCTCATGATAGATCGGGTCTGGGTTCAATATCAGTTGCATCTAGTCTCATCATGGCCAAGCACTGTGAGCAGCAAGGTTACACTGTAGCTGAATTAGATGGCAGCGAGGAAGACATGCCAAATTTATTGTCAAATCTTGCCTATTGATGACTTATTCATATAGAATCTGAAGCAGGGGTAAAATAGAACTGTGTAAGATCCCAGGGGAGATGATGAACAATTTGCCTGCCATATCTGTCTGTCTGACCTTTATGCCAGAAATGAGCAGCATTGTTCTGGAGCAGATCCACAAATCTCTGTCAATCTTCAATACTTCATGATAAATGGCGCTGACGATCTAATGAGATCAATGGTGTGCAATTACCCTATCAATCTCTAGGCAAAGTCTTGTCAACTAAGGCTGTAAGAGTGCCATAATTGGGTCAAAAGTCAGATTGGTGTGAGGGTCCAGAAAATAAATAGCCCTGTGGAACTGGAGGAGAGCCACTGCTGTCCTCAGTGTTTTTCAGTCCTCCAAAAACTTACTATGGCATCTATGTCCAGGATAGTTAGTTGTTGCTTTTTTGAAGAGGAGCAAAGTATCTGCAAATAGGCTTCTGAGTTTCCTTGGATGCATATAGCCACTAAATGACCCTCTTTCCCAGCTGCCTCTTACTAGCATGGATAGGCATAAGGTCAGCTTGCAAGTATTGCCCATAAGGCTCCAAGTACATTGTTTGCTTTAGGGGCAACGACTGTTTGAAACCAATTCAAATGAGCAGGAAAAGATTGAGCTTCAGGCTCTTAACTCTAAATTTGAAGCGGCAGTCCTGAGGTCAATCTGAATACAACCCATTTTGTTTGCAAAGTGAAACACAAACACATCAGAGTGTCCAGATGGAGGCAATAGTTCTTGCAGTCCTTTAAACTAGTCTTATATATTTGTAGAAAGAATGTTTGATTCAACAAAGCATTTTCTTTAATTTGATTCAGTGGCAAAAATCCCTCCAGGGCAGAATTGAGGCATAATGTTAGGATGTTCTAAATGCCAAAAACCATAAGCACTATGGGGGCGGGGGGGGGGGAATAAAAACATAAACCAAAAAGATTTGAGTCATGTCTCACCTGGTGATATAGTTAACAGGACATCGTCCAAAATTAGGCAGAGGGTTTTCCTATTTTGGGTGATTTGCCCCTTCCCAGCAGACCCCAGCACTCTGTCCCGCACTGTGCAGAAGTCAGCCCTTGGCCAAATCCTGCAGAGAGACGCTGTCAGAAGTTGCAGGCGGCAAGTTAACTTATCTTAGGATCTAGGCCTGCAGAATTTAGAAATTATAGAAATAATAGATTTTCCTTTTTTAAACATTTCCACCCATGCAAATTTTAAAGGCAAAGGTTTAGCTCAATCAAGAATACTTGTACATTTGTACAATTTTTGTAGCCAATTAGAAAAGGTGTCTCTGCAATTCCACCAAAGAATCAGTTTGCTTTCAGCTAGTCACCTTACACAAGTTAGATTCTCCATGTAAGAAAATAAAATTGGGCTGCGGCCAAGATGGTGGTTTGTTCTTGCTCTCGATGAAGGGTGAGATCATAAATAACAGTGTGGGAAGATAAAATGAATGCCGCC